CCGTTTCATTGGACCTGTGCGACCCGCAAGTCTAGCCATATGGGCCAACGCGTCCAACACCAACTTGTCCAGCACGCTCGGCGAGCGGCCGACGACGGGGTCGTCCCGGTATGCATCCCGGCACAGCAGGTCAATTTGCACTCCAAACTCTCGGAGGGTTTGGTCCGGTTGCTCCAGCTCCCCGAAGTTCGTCAGCTGGTCCGCAGTCAGCGTGCTTAGCACGTGACTTGCTGGCTTGCGGAGGGACACTACCAAAGACTCGGCCAACTCGGACACAGGACGGCTGGAGGCCAGAGCCAGGAACTGCGCCCGGTAGAAAGTGTAGTCCGTTTTTCCGTCGTAAGTGGGAAACGTGGCCTGGCGCAGCGTGGGCCGGTTCGAAGCCGGTTGGTGGGGCGGGAGGGCCGCGACGGCAGCGACGTCGGTCTGGCTGCCCGTAGACTGCACGAGTACTACGGGGCCTCGGGCGCGGCCAGGGGCAAGGGCGGGGGCACAGAGGCCGCCACGCTCACCGCTGGGCGCGAGGAGGACGCCGTCGTGGCCTCGGGGAAACGGACTGGAGAATGCGACGTCCGGGCGAATCGGCCTGTTGTCGTCCGGGGCTGCCCACGGGAGGCCTCCGGGCGCAGCACTAGTGAGAGCTTCGGTCGTCGGGCGCGAGCGGGTCGCGGCAGTGCGTCGTGCAGCAGCGCGAGGGGCCGGTTGTCGAACGGCACGGCGCTCACGGCGAGCTGGGGTGCGTGCCGGCGACCGGGTGCTGGCGTGCATGAGCGCGCTGCAGATTCACCACCGCACCGCACGGCCCAGCGGCCGTTCCGGTGCCGCATCCAGGCGCGGATTCAGAGGGGGCGACGGGGACGTCACCCTTCCCGAAGGCGGCGGAGCCGTCTGAAAGGTAGGCAAAACGTAGCACATTGCCCCTGTAGGTACTAGGCAACTTTGGTGACATCGCCCCCTCTGAACCCATCTCTGGATCCGCGCCTGGCTGCATCTGCGGCCGGGCCTCAGCAGCACAGGTGACCTAAAAACGCACATGGACGTGCCCCGCATCAAGCCGCGCCTGCACGTCCTGCATCAGTGCTGCCACTACAAGTTCACTAACGTGCGCGTTTTGAAGCAGCACATCTGGCTGTTCACTGGCGAGCCGACGGACTTCAAGCAGGCCCACATCCCCGCCCCCGCCGCGGAGATTTGGAACTCCCCCCGCGGTTCCCACTGCCGTTCCAGCAGGAGGGCTTTTCCCCCGTGCCACAGGCCTGCCGATCCGGCCCGCGGCCTGGAGGTAGGCAACCCATCCGACACCTTTTCGCTATTTTCGCGGGTATGGGTCATTCCATGGGGGTTCGACATACTTTTGCAAGTGATCTCTCCGATTCCGATGAAACTTTGCGAGCTTGTTGGCTATGGTCTGAAAGCCCCCAAAACCAATTTTGAGCAAAAAATACCGATTTTTGAAAAAGTTATGGCTTGCGTTAGAAATTTTGATTTTCGATGCAGACCTTTTTTGAAAACGCTGTAGTTTCTTCAAAACTGAAGCTACAGAGCTCATTCTGGGCGCATTAGAAAGGTATTGAATTAAACTTTAAGCCTATTGCAACATTTTGACAAAAATGTTCAAATTTGACATACATTGAACAAAGTCAAAATTTTGAACACAATTTTCTCAAAAGTAGTATTTTTGATTTTTTTTCTTTTTTGATATGTTATAGTCCATACTTTAGTCTAGCAACCCTCAAAATTTGGTTTAAAAAAATTCATAAACAAGGAAGAAAAACGGTTTTTAGTGTTGCGATTCGGCAAATTTTCGCTAGTTGGAGTGGTGAGGAGAGCAGCATGATGCACATTTGAGACCGCAGGTTGTCGATCTCGAACTTCTAGTGTCACTTGGAACAGTTTTTTGGGGTGCTGAACTTAAAAATTAGATCAGTTTTCGTTTTCAAAATTCCCAGGGGCGGATCAAGGGGGGTGACTTTTCAAAAATCAGGATTTTCGGATGTTGCAACGCGATTTCTATGTTTGTTGGGGTGGAGATATCGAATCTTGAACGATGTTGAATGCAAGTTGGCCCTAAAGCTGATCTAACGTATCGTTAGAACATAAAAGTGTGCAAATAGAAGATGAAAATAGCCCCCAAATGTGAACAACTTTGGCCCGTTGCAAAAAGTAAAGCTAGCGTTGTTACTCACACCCCTGTAGACATAATCAACATGCCACATCCAAACATCTCGAATTCGGAAAAGTCACCCCCATTGCCGCACCCCTTTATTGAGATTACCAGGGGCGGATCAAGAGGGGTGACTTTTCGAAAATCAGGAAAGTATGAGAAACGATATGCAACATCCAAAAATTCTGATATTTGAAAAGTCACCCCTCTTGATCCGCCCCTGGTAATCTTAATAACGGGGTGCGTCAATGGGGTCGACTTTTCGGAATTTAAGATGTTTGGATGTCGCATGTTGATTCTTATGTCTACAGGGGTGTGAGTAACAACGCTAGCTTTACTTTTTGCAACGGGCCAAAGTTGTTCACATTTGGGGGCTATTTTGATCTTCTATTTGCACACTTTTATGTTCTAACGATACGTTAGATCAGCTTTAGGGCCAACTTGCATTCAACATCGTTCAAGATTCGATATCTCCACCCCAAAAAACATAGAAATCGCGTTGCAACATCCGAAAATCCTGATTTTTGAAAAGTCACCCCCCTTGATCCGCCCCTGGGAATTTTGAAAACGAAAACTGATCTAATTTTTAAGTTCAGCACCCCAAAAAACTGTTCCAAGTGACACTAGAAGTTCGAGATCGACAACCTGCGGTCTCAAATGTGCATCATGCTGCTCTCCTCACCACTCCAACTAGCGAAAATTTGCCGAATCGCAACACTAAAAACCGTTTTTCTTCCTTGTTTATGAATTTTTTTAAACCAAATTTTGAGGGTTGCTAGACTAAAGTATGGACTATAACATATCAAAAAAGAAAAAAAATCAAAAATACTACTTTTGAGAAAATTGTGTTCAAAATTTTGACTTTGTTCAATGTATGTCAAATTTGAACATTTTTGTCAAAATGTTGCAATAGGCTTAAAGTTTAATTCAATACCTTTCTAATGCGCCCAGAATGAGCTCTGTAGCTTCAGTTTTGAAGAAACTACAGCGTTTTCAAAAAAGATCTGCATCGAAATTCAAAATTTCTAACGCAAGCCATAACTTTTTCAAAAATCGGTATTTTTTGCTCAAAATTGGTTTTGGGGGCTTTCAGACCATAGCCAAAAAGCTCGCAAAGTTTCATCGGAATCGGAGAGATCACTTGCAAAAGTATGTCGAACCCCCATGGAATGACCCGTATTCCGTTTGTTTTTGCTGCGCACTGAGACGTTTTACACATAAATTGTGATCCAGACTTCATTGATGTTCATCTGTATCATTGAGCAAAGAAACACGTTGGAATTGTAACGATAAATGCGAAACAATGCCAGATGGGTTGCCCGCGGGCCGGATCGGCTCAAGACGGCGAAGAAAGGTTGGCCCGTCTTCAGCCCTCAAGGCTCGCGTTGTAGGGGTGGGCCTTTGCAGCCACTGAGTAGTAGGTCTTGCATTTCTTTGTCACCCTGAATCCAAATTTTCCTCCCACGGGTTCACCCTGTACACCCTTCCGAACTTGGGTGTTGATCTTTCAACCCCTTATCATTTTGGGGCCCCGGAGGCGTTTCGGAGGGTCGCGACGCTGCGAGATGGACTGGATTTGATGTCTGCAGACCTCCCCCTGCTGTGCTGGATCAGTGCCGCACGCCAGGACCACGTCGTTGGGGACTAAGTGCTTACAGGGGGTGGGGGTGGTTTTTGACGGTGCTGCTGCGTGCGCGGTGTCCAACTCGGGTTTGGGCGTCAGTCTGGGGTAGGCTGTGCCCCGTCAATCGTTTCTCGACATTTGCCTCTGTTTTTTCCACCTCTTTGAACCAAAATCAAGAAAGGCCTTATTACCCCCACCCCCGTAAAGGAGTCAGGGTTGATCAAAATGACGCGCCCTCGCGTGAGGGTGCTCAGGGACACCAAACGGAGTACCTGACGCCGGGAGAGTCCATCCTCGGCAGTGGTGCTCACGTGACGGTCCTTATGTTTAGTGGTTTCCAAGAGAATGAAGCCTTCGGTGGCGGTTTTTTTCGGGGGGATGCTTCGAGGACGTCCCTCTAAACGCATCCTGAGATGCAGGACCCCCTACCCTAACCGGAAGTGCGCTAAACGCTACCCGAATTTTCCAACCGTGCGGCAATTTCTGCCCAGCGTCACTTTAAGCCCCTCTGACGGCACACCTTGCAACCCCCGGTTCCGCGGTTTGGGGCACGTGTGGATAATCCCTTGGACCACCCTGAGCAAACTTACACGAAAATCGGCCGGCTCATTCAAATTAGGCTCGGGAAACAGAAAGTGGTGCTTCAATTTTGTCCATCAGTATATGAGCCACAGTAGTGAAAAATCACCAGACCATCATTTTACTCAGAAAAACTTTGCATATAAGCTTTTTCTAAGGTGGTTCAAAAATTGGCATTAAAATCCTTTTGACTAAATATGGAGCAAGGAGCTAAACGATGAAATACATTGGACTCGGTTTTTAATACTGAAATATTTTAAGTAGGTCCTCCCCTTTATATTTTTGTTCTCAAAACATATTTGAAGTGCTTGGAGCATGACCAGTCAGTAAGAGGAAAAGAGAAAGCATTAGAATATATACTTCATTGTATGTACAGAAATTTTATTTTAATGAAATTACACTAAAGTTTAGATTTCTGATAGTTGGAAAGTTACATAGATAATTTAGAAAATCATAGATACAAGTAGTACCGAAAATGTGGAAACTAAAAGCCAACAAAGTTGGATTGGGCTGTTCGATAAAATCCATTATAATAGTATGCTACCTACACCAATACTTGTATTTTTTACTGTTTGTAAACTTAAACATTGAAATTATGAATCAACCTGAATCTGAATTACTGAATTAGGAACACTCTATCATATTGCAATTCAGCAGCATCTGTACATAACTACTCATAATACCCTGCACCTGGGTTAAGTGCTTCACTGATAATACCATCAACAGAAAAGGACGCTGCAGACAGAAAGCGCAGGATGTCTTCATGGGTGGGATTATGCAGTGCAAGTAATTCATTTGTGATTCTTCTTATGTGTACATCATTGCTTATGGATGCTGAAGTTCTGTGCCTGGAGGGGACTATTCCTTGGGACAGACTGCATATGTCATCGACAGTATCATCTTCAAAACCTGAAACATGTCCTGGAAAACAAAGTATGGATCAGTGAGGGAAGCTCCAATTCTGACTCTTCAGCAATGTGTCACATGAATGTAAATCTACTTCTTACGAATGAACTGGAATGCATTTGGGTGGTGAACTCCAAACTTCCTCTGCATTCGCATATTGTTCGACTCACTGGTAAACAGCAACAAAAGTGATAATTGGTAAATAACAAAGCTACATTTGCTTTAAAGAAATTTCTGGGGATGAATAGATAACTCACCTAGCATTGTTGGTGCGATGTTCGCTTAAGCATACAGAAATGCATTGACCTCTGTTTATGTGATCCAACCATTCATGCTGTATGTAAGTAAGGAAAGGGCGCACAACTTCGTAAAACACAGGATCACCCAAATTTAAGGCTTCAGTGCCAATGGCATCTAATCCCCGCTGCAGAAGATGAGGTGGAAGTAGAGGTAATGCGCAACAAAATCGAATCACACTTTTGACTTCCGGACAGATAGATATTATGTAGACACCAATTGTTTGTTTTGCATATTTAATCTTAGCCTGAAAACAGACAAGCAAATCATCAGAGATCATAAGTGGCAGAGGGTGAGAAAAACAATACACTTGTTACAAAGAACGCATACTTACAGAACAAGAATGAAAAAGACATCCTTGGACATAAACATTGAACACAACTCTAAATGAATTGATAATAGCATCCTCATAATCTGACACAACAGTGGTAAAGGCCCATTGAACAAGGTGTGTTCTCAAAAGAGTGAGAACAGAAACATAAGCACTTTGTGACTTGCTTTCCATCAGGCACCAACAAAGAGGAATCACCTGAAAGGGCATCATTACAAGGTAGGTTTACGCCAGACCGCGTCTTGTCGTAACAGGCTTCGCGATGTCTCGCGGCCAGTTCCTCCAATCCGCGCCTGGCGTACCTACCTTGGCCTGCGGCGCTAGCCTGCCTTCGGCAGGCATTGGCTTGTCCTGTCGGATACTTCTTACGTGTTGCATGCTGGGGGGCTCCGCCCCCCAGACCCCCCTTAATTCTAGATAGAGTTGCTTCATCTAAAGATAACACGATCTTGACCGTTGTCACTTTTTAACTTGTCGAGGCTGGGGGGCTCCGCCCCCCAGACCCCCCTTTCTTCAAGACAGAGGTGATCTACCTGCAGAAAACTCGATTTTTCGCCGTTTTTTAGGTGTTTTTCGGCTATAAAAACTGAACCAGTTGAGGTACGATCGTGAAATTTCGCGTGTGCCGAGCCAAGAACATACCTAATAAGCCTGCAAAATCTCAGCCAGATCGGCCGAGCCGTTCAGGAGGAGTAGTGTACACACACAGACAGACAGACAGACAGACAGACAGAAAAAGTTTTTCAACCCCACTGGAGTAACAGGCTTCGCTATCGCTCAGCCAAAAATTGTTTTACTATTATTTGGCTTGACAAATTTTTAAATTATTGATAAATTTTTGACTAAGAACTTACAGTATGTCCAATAACAGTTACTATTGTGAAAACCTGTAAAAGCAAGATGACAGATTTAACTCTTTAGTTGAAATGAGGTAAGAGAAAAAGTGTAATTGTACTGTCAATCTGCAGTTGTGCAGTAAATTTACCTGATATCATCCTTCTACAGAGGGACGAACAAAGAATGTACCATCAGCAAAAATGGTATCTACACTCCTCATATAATCTAGGCACCTCTGACTTATAAAAACAATGCTATGTGACCCATCTTCTGCCCAGGCTGACCCTAAGTAAATGGAGTCCTCTTCATCTAGAGTGGTGGTAAGTGAGGTCCAAGCTGGATCCTGCAGTATTTCTGTAAGTTCTACAAGGCTCTGAGGAACATTTGGAAATACTTCTGCTCTTGCTCTCTGCATTGCAGGGCGAAGCCTTCGCAGAGTGAGCTGTGATCGAACTGTCCTATTTTGAATCCTGTAACAGAAGCAAAAGCAGCAAGATCTGAAGTATGACATTGGCAGCAAATGAAACATGGGAGCAAAATAGAAGAAACAGAACAATACCTTCTCCTTTCAGTTGCTAGGATATCAGAAAATGATACATAGGTGAGTGATCTTGCTAGGTTCACAATCGACCTTCTTGAATCGAGCACCTGGGTGTAAAGGTGGTTAGGAGGATGGTTGTGGGCCTGAGTGTGGTAAAATCCCTCACCCTGTCGCAAAAGACCTTTTCCATTGCAAGATGTATGTATGCATTTGAAATAAATAGTAGACAGTCCTTCACGGTGATAATGGTAGTGGAGTCCATCGTTTATATGGTAAAAGAATGAATCCTCCCTTTGACCAGCCTCTTGAATAATTTGAAAATCATCCATATTTGCATAGAAACTGTGGCTTGATATCCTGTGAACAATGATAAAATTGGATTTAAATTGATTGAAGTTACTACAATTATAATAACTGGGACTTTGTTAACGAAGATAACCTTAAAAGATAATCCTTTCAAATCTGAATTGCAGAAGGGTTGAAATTCAAGAACAGGACAATACAAAGTACATGTTCAAAGTGAACATAACAACACACCTTTCTTCACAGCGACCTTCAGAACTTTTACTCGACGACGTGTGAAAGAGAAGCGTTAGCTTTCGTCGAAGCGTCTCTCCAAGACTCCGTTCCGTTTCGTTTCGCAAAAAAAACAAAACAAGGACGCACCGAAGACAACTGCGCATAGACGCATAACGCTTATTAGCAGTCTGATGGTGTTGGGGTTGGTTGCTTCTTGCCGGTGCCCATTAATGCCCATCGTGCATGTCAACATGGAAGCCATTAGAGGGAAGCAAGGGAACTCTTTCGTGTATCATGTGAATGGATTTTACTTTTACCGTAACAAAACAGTAAATTGCACTGATTATTATCGTTGCATAGAATGGAAGCGGGGCTGTCCAGTAAAGGCAAACGTCAAAAGTGATGGCATATTTTACCAAACGTTCCAGCATAATCACAACGCTGACCCCTGTCGGGTCGCTTTAATGACAGAGCGTTTAGTTCTTATTCATAATGCCCGGCGATTAGATATCGCAACTGTTCATGATGCCTTCCGTGACCACAACAACATGATGTAAGTGTAAATCATATGGGGTCTCAACACAAGTCATGGTTTTGTTTTGCCCTCAATTTTAGCTTATTGTTCCTCTCAATGATTTAGAAACAATTAAACTTGAAAGGATAGGCTGATCTGGTTTTTCATGCTTTGTTGTTGGTTTGCTTTCAGGAACAACTTGCCTGGATCATTCGGAAGTGAAATGACATACCATAGTTTGTATCCGTCTGTCCTCAGAGCTCGTGAAAATTCCTGGCCTCAACTAGGAAACATATCTGAGCTGTGTGATGTGCTCGAAAATCCATTATACACTTGTATTACTGCCGACAATCAGTTTGCTGATAATAGCTTTGGAGGGGCTGTCCGGGTTGGTCCCTCTCGATCAGCTATTCTTTTCATGAGCGAAAAGTGCAAGCAATTTCTCAAAATTGTTAGTGACATATTCATTCTCTGCACATGTACTTCTGTGAGGGGTGATCAGAAAAAGGTTTAAAATAAGTTCTGTATGGTACTGTTTAATTTTGCTCTATGGACTTACCAATTATCTTCTGTTTCCGTTACAGCTGTACACCATTGGAACCCATTGGGAAGGAAATGTTTGTAACTTTCATCATTATGAACGAGTTTACTACAATGCCAAACTGGCGCATTATTTCTAACGCACTTCCTACTTTTATTTTACTCTGAAATACAGGTCATACAAATTGCCTCAATTTTGATGGAGACAGATGTTCATGGAGAAGATTATGAAACACTAGTATCTGCATTTTCAATGCTGAGAACATCTGTGGGGGTTTGGCACTACTCAAAAGCTTTTTGTGGCAACCCTGTTGTTGCTCGTGCCTTTCATGACGTCTTTGGAGTAGAAGTTAAACCTGCTCTGAAAGACTATATCAATGTAAGTAAAAATGTATTTATTTTGGCCTATGTGCAAGTTATTTATTGTTAACAGACCACATATTTTTTAATTTTATTGCTTTTTATAGGACATTCAATCCTTCGTCAATCAAGCTATTCCTTTTCAAAGTCCATCACTACTAAATGTTATGCAACTGTGCTGTGCTCTTGCAATTGTACCCAAGGATATGCTTCAAATGGGCATTAATCTTATTGTAAATGAGGCAGAAAGAAGTGATGCTTACAATGATTCATTGACCCTTTTCAACTATTTGGAGAGGGTTTGGATAAGACATCCCCACTTCACTATGTGCGATGTTGAAAGGACAACTTTTGGAAGGTAAAAATATTTTGTGTTCTTTGGTTTGTCTTAATAGAATGCCTCAATAACGCTTTTTTTTTTTTACAGTGTTGAGTTGGAAAGGAAGCTTTTCAAGAAAACCTTTGAAGACTTCTATTCACTGATCAGTATGTGTCTTTTTGCACATCCCAAACATATTAGTACAAGTTAATTCCTTGACAGTAGTTATTTCCTGAACTTCTTTCTAGGATTTATCAACCAGAGCCTATTTAAGTTGTCTCACAAGAAAATTGATCAAGTTATGAGGGGACAAAGATTGCCTTCTCAACCCAGTGCCTTAGTGAATGACACCCAAATTTCATTTCTACTTCGATCCCCAGTATCCATCACCACTGCATGGAATCTACTGAAGACGGTGCAGCAAAAAATTAGTCACATAGTGTAAGATTTGATTTATTGTATTGCATTGATTTAATAAAATTTGCTCATTCATACATGTCAGCACACATGAAAATTATTGTTATTTACCGGAACATGCACTTACACCAACTTCATTGGTTCTCCAGATCCTTTTAGGAAAGGGAAAGACATTGAAGGCATTCGTTCAGGAAATAGAAATTTCTTTCAAAGCCACTTCTTCGGTTCGAGTTTAAATCTTAAAACAGCCATTTTGCATGTAGTGTGGCAATTGATCAAGAAGTGCTATTACACAGTGTGTTTACAGTGATCTTGCTTCTTCTCATGCAGACAAGAATATGGTTATTTTTGCTGTAGATGTTATGACTGGTCTGTTTTTCTTGCTTTAGAATTTTCTGACACAAGATAAGTTTTGATAGCAATAGTGAGGAGTTTGAGTCATAATTTCTAGTTCCTTGCCCGCTGATAGTCCTAAATTATATTTCATATTTCAGCCACGATAAAGGAACCGTCAATATTATTATTATTCAAACAATCTCATGCTGACCGACAACTTTGCTTTGAGCAAAATTAAGTCGTGCACTTTTGTTGCCATTCCCTGGCAAGAAGAACCAAGAATGACAGGAGAATCTATCATATTCTGACAGTATGAAAAATTTCTGGAAGTCTCCGCTTCCGCTTTTCCACATAATTTCACTTCCGTTTCCTGATTCCGGACGTCTTCCATTGCGTTGCCACTGCCTCGTGCCGTACGAGCCGTACGCGTTTCTAATCCAGGTCCATTGATCCATTAATTCTAATGGCTAACGTAAGAACAAACAGGATCATGAAAGATCTGCAAGAATTCATGAATGTAAGTATTCAGAAATTGGTAAAGTTTCTGAGTCAGGTGTTCCCACAATGGGGTTAGGTATTAGCGAACGGACAAGCAAACGCTACGCAGATTACTTACGTCGGTAAAATGTCATGGATATGTTGTTACAATATTGCCCAAAAGACAAAATTAGCAGAATTTGGAGCAGACGTCACTGTCACTTTCCCAGATATAGTCTACCTAGTCGGGTTGAAGGTGTCTCTTGAGAAGGTGACGTGACTACTGCACCATGTACTGCTTATTTTATCTTTGAAGCAATTTCAACATCACTACCAAAACAGTTTTACAGACTCCAGTCATTTTGGTCGCGTTCGCAATCCCCATTGTAGGATAACTTTCAAGCATCTTTATTGGCATATGCAACAACACGCTTGTGGTTTCTTCCCATCAGACATCTCTTGATTCTGGAGTCCTCCTTACGGACTACGACGAGGTGGAGTTAAAACATTTCACCGTTAGCGTGGCCGGGCCGGTGGGGTCACCTTATGAGACAGGGACTTTTGATGTCAAAATAATGCTGCCGATGTCCTTCCCCTTCAGAGGCCCAAAGGTACGCACTTGAAACTAAGTCATTATGAATCTTCAGGAGGTTATTATGTGCTTATCGTATAAACAAACATTTCTTTGTTCTAGGCCAAATTTGTAACTCAGGTGTGGCACCCCAACGTGGGTGCTGCTACTGGCAACGTTTGTGTAGACATCCTGACTAACTGGTAAGTACAATTACCCCTTTTAATTGAAGCCTGTGGCAACAAAATGTGATTGCTATGTTTTCTTTCAGGAGAGCAGGAACTAGGCTTGCCCAACTCGCTGAGGTGGTGCAGGGCCTGCTATCCCTGCCGAACCCTACAAGCCCATTAAACAGTGACGCTAGTGTCGAGCTGGAGGAAAACCCTAGAGAATTTGAGCGAACAGCCACTATGTGGACCTGTGTATTTGCAGGAGGTAAGTGACAGTAGTTGGTCTGTTGGTCATCTATTCTTTAAGTAATATAACATTATTTCGCTCTCTGCGCTTATTCAGGTTCCAAGCCCAGGCCGGATGAACTCCAGGTAAAGGTATTGAGTGTCCAAGAGCAACTACAATGTTCCGAGGAGCAAGCTGTTAAGAAACTCTCATTCGCCCGATGGAATGTGGGTGATGCCTGTTCGGCAGCCAGGCGAAGTGAGTTCTAATTCTAGACCAAGGCACTCTTTCCTTAAAATTAGTTTCTGTCTAAGTTTTACTGATTAGATAGACTGTTGTTCCTGTAGGGTCCTGTCAATCCCCATGTTTGACATGTTTGACCCCATGTCCTGTTCCTAACTGCGGTTTGTCATTTGATAGGCAACTTCAGTGTACTGTTTTTCACAGGGCCTAATATGTCATGATGAGCTTTATTTGTCTGCTCCTTTGAGTACTGTATCTGTTCCTTATCTGCTATGCTTTGGCAGCCCACTTTCTTCATTTCTCGCTAATTTTTACTGATTTTTTATTTAAACTTAGATTCTTTTTCGTGTGAAGTCAGGTGTATAGGTGTATGTTAAGCTATTTGACCCTATTATTGTTTATACTTTAGAGCTCTCCCTAATGATATGATGTTATGTCAAATAATGGTCCATAATTTTTAATGATGTATGTTCGTACTATGATTTGACTTTGGCTGTTAATAAATGACTATAGCTTTCCAGATTTTGGCCAAGTTTTTGCCTTCCCTGTGCCACATGTGGCTGTTTCTAAGCTATTATTGTTTATACTTTAGAGCTCTCCCTAGTGTTATGATGTTATGTGAAATAATGGTCCATAATTTTTAATGTTGTATGTTCGTACTATGATTTGACTTTGGCTGTTAATAAATGACTATAGCTTTCCAGATTTTGGCCAAGTTTTTGCCTTCCCTGTGCCACATGTGGCTGTTTCTAAGCTATTATTGTTTATACTTTAGAGCTCTCCCTAGTGTTATGATGTTATGTGAAATAATGGTCCATAATTTTTAATGTTGTATGTTCGTACTATGATTTGACTTTGGCTGTTAATAAATGACTATAGCTTTCCAGATTTTGGCCAAGTTTTTGCCTTCCCTGTGCCACATGTGGCTGTTTCTAAGCTATCCAGTGGGTATGGCATTTGTACGCATGTCTGACCCTGCTAGGCTTCATACACCTAAGCATCGCATGAACCCACACTTGACTGTTCCGTCAATCTGAGGCAATGGTAGTCGTGTAAGAAATGGAATCGTTAGAAGGTCGAATGGCAGGCCATTGACTACTGTAAGGGCATCACCATGATAAGTTACCTATCTAACAATGAAGATAGAAGGGAGAAGGAGTGAGCAACTCAGAAACATTCCACTAAGATTTATTGCATAAACACACAGTCAATACAAACAATATGGTCCCATTAAAAATTTTCAGACAATCTTCTTTCCTTCAAGCCCTTCTGAATGTTCCTCTGCGACTGAGAGTCGAATCTTGGTTGATGATTTATCTTCTTCAGGGTCAGAAGTCGACCGGAGCAAAGTGTGAAGAGAACTGGAAACAGATTCAAGAAGGATTTGAGTGACAGGAAAGATAAGAGCAGAGCAATTAGGTCATAAGGGACTTGAAGATGTAAACCAAAACTGGTCTGGGTGTGCCCTAAAAAAAATTTTCACAGCATATATTGAAGAGGATGGCAACGATGAGTAAGAGAGCATTCATCCTCAGTTCCTGACAGTCCCCTCATTGGAAGAATAAACATTATACCTCAGCATGCAACACGATTCATTGTAACACCAACATATTTTATGTTCATGTTTCTTGCGAGATCTTACGATTGTTTATCATATCATTTAGAGAGTACCCAGCATAGCTCTGCTCTAAAACAAAGGGGAAAAATGAATAAAAGGGAGAGGGGGAGAGAGAAGGAGAAGAAAAGACTCAACATAATTCAGACAAAAAAATGGAACAATGGAGCCATCCTGAAGCCATCCATGCTTAGAACACATGTGAGTGGCTAGACACCAACAGAAGTTGTCTCTCAGCCTATTGCTTCCTGGGCTTGCAGTTCCTAATAAAAACAAAACCCCAAAAAATGACATTAAAATTTAGAAGGTACAAAGTTTTTTCACCGTTGACATGCCTGCTTTTGATTGACGGTTTCATCTTTCAGAGAGAAAGCAGAGAGAGCAGTTCTAAACTAAAGATAACACCTATGCGAAGGCAGTTCGCAACAACAACTAACTTTTGACTCGGGCTTATCCATCCCTTTGACATTCCCAGATAGAATAACTAATAAACTTTTCAATTTAACATTGCAGTAGTTCTGCAACTCTTGGAGGGCTGAGAAAAGTTGAGAGGCATCAAAGCAGATGGGAGCAGGCAAGTAAGATTGTTCAAAGATGCAAAAAATATCAAACACAAAATGCAGATTCTTAACTGACCGGTGAGTAGCAGACGGACAGTTGCAGCCTCCCGATTCCACCACATGAACAAAATAACAAGAGCATTTGGGCTGATCCACCCAAGCCAAGCTACTTTGATTCCTGCAAAATTAAAATGTATGTGTCACTTCCAGCACAACAATAGCCTACTCTTCCTGGTCTGTTTGTTTGCATATTATGCTAACAACTATCCAATAGCACTCACAATGCACTGGCTTCAATGAATGAAATTCTTATGCTTTCCCACAATGAGACGCACCTTTGATACAAAAATAGAAACAACAGGGAGATCATCTCATTAATACGGTAATTTTTTTAACACCTTCCACCAGGTCTGGAACACTTCTAAATCCATTGACTTTTCCAAAGGGAAACGGCTGAAGAGAGTTGAGAGGCATCGGAAGCACATTGGAGCAGATGAGTCAGTTTCACCGTGTTGGGTTTTGTTCAGAGCTGCAATAATAACCAAAACAGACTTTGTTACAAACACAAGAAGGTGAGAAAGCAATCCGATAGTATATCAAAGCTAGAAACCCTCTCCCATATTTCCTTTTATATTCCCTCAGAATCAACTGAAGTCAAAATTAGAAAAGGAACCCTAGCATGAGAAAAGCAGATCATAAATGGGGTGACAATCACCAGAGGATGATGGAATAGGATGATGTGTAAACAATGCACTCATGCTCTCATCAGAGATGCCACTGGCTTCCTGTTTTACTGGAAAAGTGACAGTTTGATCTAGGTATATTCTAAATAACACTTACCTACACAAGCGCTTGAATAATGGCCAATGAATATGACACACAGGTTTCCGATGATTCTCCGTTGAACCTCTGGCCTCACCTTTCACCGTAGGCAGAGTACTCCTGCAGACAAAAAACAAAACAAAAAATTATAATGCATACACATCCAAGCACACTGTATATCAGAAAGAACCCATTCAACACTTTGCCCAACATGAATACACCAGAGGTATGAATAATAAATGTGGACCAACCTCAATGAGTGCGTCTGACTTTTGCTACTGGTCGGCAATTGCTGTTAATGACCGAGCTGTATGCTGATTTCTTTCCAGAGCTGAAGCACAAAGGAAGACACTTTTTCATTTAAATGAACTAAGCAAAGCCCTTTCCAAATAAATTTTCCACAAAAAGGGGCACTGTGGTTCAAACACACAAGAGAGGAATCTACACTTTGAATGACAAAACTCACTTTGCCAATCCAGCCAAGGTTGGTTGAGTCATCCTGACACCTCCACACGGGACGGGGAAAAGGAATAAATGGACCACCTTTCCATACAGTCATACATATGAGGCAGAGTACTCCTGCAGACAAAAAAACAAAACAAAAAATTATAATGCATACACAACAAAACAAACACGTACAAAGAGAGGTCCCAACACTAGGGAGCATTGATTTTAAATATACGAAAGATTTCAAAACAACGGCAGCAGATCCTCGTGTTGTCAGTCCCATATGTTTACAGTTTGATGCCATTAGTTAGATGAGTTGACAGGACAGGTTCTTGACTGGCACAGCACAGCATTCATGAACAACAAAATTCAAGTTCAAACTCACTCACCTCAACAAGAAGTTCAGTGTTGGCGACTTGACAGCAAACCGACAGCAGCAACCCTTCCATTCCACCCTTGAAGAAACTGCCAAGAGCACTGGGACTGGTTCTCGTAAGCCAAGCTGGATCCATTACTGCAAAGTAAGATATATGTTACTTCCAGCATGTCAATGACCTGCAATCTGGTTGCAAATGCAGACAAGCCCCATGCTATATAGCATAAGCTTTGCATGCCAAGTTGGACACTTGGAAACTAGGAACTAGGAGAGCAGATCATGATGACACTTCACTTGACGCTTACAACTGACGAGCTTCGATGCAAAGAATGGCGCACGTCTCTTGGACGAGCAAGGAATTAACTGCAAAACCCGAAGTGAGCCTGAGTTTCCATACCAAACCCGCAGCGGTTCCAAAGCAAATCGTGCCTACTGTTAGGCTTACCCAGGCCAGCGGCGAAGAGCAGAAACGATGCAGAACCAAGAGGAACGACGCGGATTTGATGGAGCAGATCAGATAGAGCCACGAAAAAAGGAACGATTGGAATCAGTGGAAGGGTTAACCTCACCAACACGCAGCACTGCGCGGCTTACCGCCGCTCCAGAGTGCGAAAACGAGTAACCAAATATGCATATTTGGACGCGCACTCGGCCCAAAACACACTTCCGGCTGCTGCTGGTATCGGGGTACAACATTAACAAACACGAGAGACTTCTCTGCTTCACACATAGCTCGCTCGTCGCCGTCTTCGTCTGCTGCTGTCGGGGCTGCGTCCAAAATGCCCTCCCGCGGCGCTCGGAGCCGGGAGCCCCATGACTTCGCCACTGCACCACAATGAAAGCCCGAGTGATAACCTATCAAATGACACCTGTCCCTTCTCTTTTAAACCAAGGGGCAAGTGGGGGCAAGTAGCACTACTGCGAGAAAGGTGTGGTCGCCTGGTGACGCGTCCGAATCGGGCCAACAGCAACAGGCTTCCTTATTCGCCCTCCAGGCGGTGGTCTGCACAGTGTTGACAAACATAAGTGCTTTCCTCTATCCGCATTCGAGGTTGTCGTTTGGTTTCAGTGAGTAAAATGTGTCGTTAGGAACTGGGGGAGAAAGGGCCACTGTTAGGAGAAAATCTAGAGAACACATGCGATAGTATCACTTCACGTGATAGCTCCTAAGTTTCTTGGTACCGGCGATACCCCTTTACGAACGAAAGTCTCTCACTGGCGGGGTAGCGACGCAGTGTCTGGAACTCACCGCACAGCTCCTGGGGCGCTGACGACGAGAAGTGAGCGAATTTTTCATACACGGCGTGAATCGGTAGCCTCGTCAAAGGGGGCTCGGCTTGCGTGTCCAACCCGAAACCTCGGCCTGGTCGCCCAACACATCACCAGCTGCTCTACCCCACCCTCTCAACACACCAGAGTAAAATTATCTTTTTTTTTTTTTAATATTATTTTAACACGGTAAAATGACCACAAAAAGCTTCCTTTACAAACAAATAATAATAAATAAAAAATAAAAAAAATAAAAATTACTTCAAATATGTATTTTCGGCCGATCGTGCGTGGTAGAGTTGAGCCCACCCCCGCAAAAATTCATTCAAAAAATCCAAAGTAATTCATAGAAGTTCAATAAAATTCGCCAAAATTCGTAAAAATTCACTGAAATTCAAAAAAAATTAATTACATTCTAAAATTTTCTGAAATTCAAGAAATTTACGAAATTCATTCATTTGCACACCGAAATTCAGAGTTTATTTCCCCTTGGGTTGGTCTATTTTGAACTCGTAAACTTTAATATCTCCCAAAGTGTCTAGTTAACCGTATGGGCACTTGGCAAGTGAAAAGAGAAGACAAGTCTTTGGTGAAATTTTGAGCACTTTTGGTGATGACATCAAATTGTCTAGAAGTAGTTTTTTTTATATTTAACGACAAAAAAAAGACTTTTGAAAAAAAAATTAGTTCACCAAAAACTTTTTTGACTTTTAAGGTATAGGTATTCCAAGTTTGGTCCAAATCCATGAGGTGTTGGCAAATGGCTTGCTCTTTAGGTCTGGAATCTGCCCGGTACGCCTTGATCAACAAGGAAGAGGTGTTCCCTTGGTTCCATATGCGAAACTTTTTGAGTTTAAGTCATAAGTGCAAACTGTTGTCGTAAAGGCCCCGGAATCGTTTCGGTTTGGGTATCATCCCTGACTGTGCAGTGTTGGTAATGATGTACAAAGTTGCTAGGAGAGCGATTCTCACGTTTCGGGGTAGTTTTGGCGTCTCTGATTTGCCGAAAGTGAGAAATATCCAATTAAGTTTTTCTGATTATTGGGGTCCTGGATGATACTAGAGTTATGGCAATGGTATTTATAGTGAAGACCTTGTACTACCTTCCTAAAAACATGAGCCATAAGGTATTGCCATGCGTTTTAGTGGGTGTTTTGATCACGGAAATTACGTTATCACGGAAGTTACAAAGTGTGAAAATCGGCTTTAACGGCTGACTCGGGCTTGCTGTGGCTTAAAAGTCGTTCCAGGGTCAAATGATACTCTAAGCCCGACATTTAAGCGGAAATTTTTTTCACCCAGTGCTGCTGCAACATTGGGTAAAGGGTGCCACGGAAGTTACAGGTAATTGTTGATACACGCCATTTTATAATGCTCTAGCCCGCTTTGAGACCGTGTACAGCATCTTAAATTTCCGCAACCCATGCAATTATATCCCAGGGACTCCACTTTGATGGCTTGTGTCATGGAAAGTTTAAAGTTTGGCTTGGGGAGAAGTCCAGAGCTGCCTTTTCGAAATTTGTGTAGTGAAATTGAATATACGGAGGACATATTTCGTTGCAGCATAAGTACCTTTGAAAGAAGTCTGGCGTATTGGTCTTCGGTCGAAATTAGCTCGAGACATGCCAAGCTTCGAATCCCCATCGACAGTTTGGCAGCATTTTCGAACCACACCGCCACACTGGGGGCGGAAAGTTCGAGTATGTTCTCTTAGGACAATCACGGAAGTTACATTTAGGGTATTCCAAACGCTACGTAGACCAAACCAACGAACGTGAACTTTTCGAAAAATGTGCGTTTAGTGGGCAATGGCCCTCCCTAACATCAGAAACAAACCCCATGTCGATATCTGCGCTCGTTTGGGCACAGGAGTCAGAAGAAACGAAACTACCCCGAAACGTGAGAATCGCTCATTAAGAAAAAGCAGAGGAAAACTTACAACAGAAAAGAGACCTACCGCAGAACAAGCATCATCTTTTTTGGCTCGTCCCGTTTATTTTTGGCCCGTCCCGTTTATTTTTAGTAAAAAAAAATGACGGAGGGACGGGCATATAGTATGACTCGCGCTGCTCGCTGGGGGCTCCGCCCCCAGACCCCCGCATGTGTGGAGCGCGTGCCGAAGTATTTTCAGTAAGTCCGTGATGACCAAAGGCAAATTTTCTAAGGAAGTAAATGTCCTGCTTCTTTGAAAGGTCTATTTAACCGCTTTTGACCATATAATAAGGCTACTTTAACTGCCCAAATAGATAGCTTGTATTGCACTGGCCACTGTGGCAGTCAATGGGTGCATACAAGGTCCGGAAAATATTGAAGACTGCTTTGACAAGGATAGAGGTGAATGGAAAAAACCGCATGTCTCTACGACCACTCCTTGACCCCGAACATTTCTATGAGTGAGTGAGTCAGTGAGTCAGTCGGATTGGGGCTGTATAGGTTCTTGATGATGATTGCCCAATTGCCGGTGGCGGGGACCCGACTACGGTACACTTTCGGAAATTCTCGACCAGACCTACCGATGGGGCGAATAAAAATTTTGAGTCATTCGGTCCCCTTTTTAGAAGATTGAGTAGGTTTGCTCGGAAACGGTGGGAAATTTTCAACTTTTGGGACTTGAATCAATTTTTCCATGAAATTTGGAATCGAATGGAAAAAAACCGCAAGTCTCTACAACTCCTTCACCCCAAACATTTCTATGAGTGAGTGAGTCAGTGGATGAGTGCGTGAGTCAGTCAGTCGGATTGCGGCTATAAAGGTTCTTCATGAGTGAGGGAGTCAGTCAGTCGGATTTAGGGGCTATATAGGTTCTTGATGATGATAATTGATGCTTGATTTAGTGTATGTTGCCGGTGCCGGGGACCCGATTGCGGCACAGTTTCGGAAATGTCTCGACCAGACCTACCGATGGGGCGAATAAAAAGTTTTAGTCGGTCGGTCCCCTTTTTCAAAGATTGAGTGGGTTTGCTCGGAAACAGTGGGGAAATTTGGTCCCCTTTTTTGAAGATAAGGTAGATTTGCTCGGAAACGGTAAAGAATTTTCAATTTTTGGGATTTTTCCCGATTTTCCCATAAAATTTGGAATTGAATGGAAAAAACCGCATGTCTCTACGACCACTCCTTGACCCCAAACATTTCTATGAGTGAGTCAGTGAGTGAGTCAGTCGCGTTGCTCGCTGGGGGCTCCGCCCCCAGACCCCCGCATGTGTGGAGTGCGTGCCGAAGTATTTAGTAAGTCCGTGGTGACCAAAGGCAAATTTTCTAAGGAAGTAAATGTCCTGTTTCTTTGAAAGCTCTATTTAACCACTTTTGACCATATAATAAGGCTACTTTTACTGCCCAAATAGATAGCTTGTATTGCATTAGCTACTGTGGCAGTCAATGGGTGCATACAAGGTCCGGAAAATATTGAAGACTGCTTTGACAGGGATAGAGGTGAAAGGAAAAAACCTTAGGACTCTACAACCACTCCTTGACCCCAAACATTTCTTTGAGTGAGTAAGTGAGTGAGTGAGTCAGTCGGTCAGTCGGATTGGGGCTATAAAGATTCTTGATGATGGTTGCCCAATTGCCGGTGGCAGGGTCCCGATTACAGCACAGTTTCGGAAATTCTCGACCAGACCTACCGATGGGGCGAATAAAATTTTTTAGTCATTCGGTCCCCATTTTAGAAGATTGAGTAGGTTTGCTCAGGAACAGTGAGAAATTTTCAACTTTTGAGATTTTTCTCAATTTTCCCAATAAATTTGGAATCGAATGGAAAAACCTGCAGGTCTTATGACCACTCCTTGACCCCAAACATTTCTATGAGTGAGTGAGTCAGTCAGTCGGATTGGGGCTATATAGGTTCTTGATTGATGAGTGAGGGAGTCAGTCAGTCGGATTTTGGGGCTTTATAGGTTCTTGATGAAAATTGATGATTGATTTTGAGTACGTTGCCGGTGACGGGGCCCCAATTGCGGCACAGTTTGGGAAAATTTCTCGACTAGACCTACCGATGGAGCGAATAAAAATTTTTAGTCGGTCGGTCCCCTTTTTTGAAGATTGAGTGGATTTTGTTGAATTTAGGCCTATTTAATCGTTTTTGAAGATGTTGCCGGTGACGGGGCCCCCAATAGCGGCACAGTTTCGGAAATGTCTCGACCAGACCTACCGATGGGGCGCATAAAAATTTTTAGTCGGTGGGGCCCCCTTTTTTTGAAGATAGGGTAGATTTTGTTGAATTTAGGCCTATTTAATCGTTTTTGAGGATGTTGCCGGTGACGGGGACCAATTGCGGCACAGTTTCGGAAATGTCTCGACTAGCCCTACCGATGGAGCGAAAAAAAATTTTTAGTCGGTCGGCCCCCTTTTTTGAAGATTGAGTGGATTTTGTTGAATTTAGGCCTATTTAATCTTTTTTGAAGATGTTGCCGGTGACGGGGCCCCAATAGCGGCACAGTTTCGGAAATGTCTCGACCAGCCCAAAACCGAGGGGGGCGCAAAAAAAATTTTTAGTCGGTCGGCCCCCTTTTTTGAAGATAGGGTAGATTTTGTTGAATTTAGGCCTTTTTAAAATCTTTTTTGAGGATGTTGCCGGTGACGGGGACCCGATAGCGGCACAGTTTCGGAAATGTCTCGACCAGACCTACCGATGGGGCGAGAAAAAATTTTTCAGTCGGTCGGTCCCCTTTTTTGAAGATTGAGTGGTTTTTTGTTGAATTTAGGCCTATTTAATCTTTTTTGAAGATGTTGCCGGTGACGGGGACCCGATTGCGGCACAATTTCGGAAATGTCTCGACCAGACCAAACCCCGATGGGCGAAAAAAAATTTTCAGTCGGTCGGCCCCTTTTTTGAAGATTAAGTGGATTTTGTGTAATTTAGGCCTTTTTTACCGTTTTGAGGATGTTGCTGGTGACGGGGACCCGATTGCGGCACAGTTTGGGAAAGTTCCTCGACCAGACCTACCGATAGGGCGAATAAAAATTTTCAGTCGGTCGGCCCCCTTTTTTGAAGATTGAGTGGATTTTGTTGAATTTAGGCCTTTTTTTATATATTATTATATCGTTTTTAGGATGTTCCCGGGTGACGGGGACCAGATTGCGGCACAGTTTTGGAAATGTCTCGACCAGACCTACCGATAGGGCGAATAAAAATTTTTAGTCGGTCGGCCCCCTTTTTTGAAGATTGAGTAGGTTTGCTCAAAAACGGTGAGAAATTTTTTCCCCCTTTTTTTAGATAAAGTAGGTTTTCTCGGAAACGGTGAGGAATTTTCAATTTTTGGGTTTTTTCCCCAAATTTTTTCCCATAAAAGGGGGAAAATCGAATGGAAAAAACCGCAAGACTCTACGACCACTCCTTCACCCCAAACATTTCTATGAGTGAGTGAGTCAGTGAGTCAGTGAGTCAGTGAGTCAGTGAGTCAGTCGGATTGGGGCTTTATAGGTTCTTGATCCCTGCTGTGCGTGCGTCCGTCCGTCCGAGGACTTCCCGTGGTCCGATCTTGACCAAATTTGGTATGCAGCCTCCTTGGGTGACCCCAAGAACCGCCCGGTGGCAGCAAATCCGATCCGAGCCCCGGGGGCGCAGCTGCAGGTGCATCATGGTCTCCATGGGGTCGGGGGATTTCGGCAACGGATACAGCTAGGAGGCCATGTAGGGGTATTTTTGGAATCGGGGCGACGAAACAAAACCAACGGTGCCAGTTTCAAGCGAATCGGAGAAGTTTGGACCCGGGTTCAAATCCCAGTAGAGTATATTTTGGACACTCTTTTTATTCAAATTTTTGCATTGTTTCTGATGTTTTTGAGGGCGCTGATGACGAAAATAACATTTATTTTGACCCCAGACTCAGGTTCAATTCCCGTTAGGGTTAAACATAGGCGAAATTTGCACATTCCCTGATGAACAGGACGGGCCAAAGTTGCCGATGTATTGTAGTGTTAGAGCCAGTGGCTATGCGCAGTCAGCACCGCTATTGGCAGTCCAGCGGTCGCGCATGCGCAGAGTGTCGAACCGGGCCTTGACAACGGTTGTTAACGCAGGCGCTTCGGTGCCAGTTGTACTCGAGCTCTGTGTGAATTAACACGTCTTCGGCCTACTCCTGGTTCCCTCAGTCTTGACACCAGAAACCACCTCCCAATCACCACAATTGGCGCAGTCGGTACTGGTGTCTACTGAGCGGTTGCTTTACGGCTATTTCTTTCCAGTTTTTCGGGCGTTTTCCTGGCTTCTGGTGCGACGAGGCGACCCGGTCCGGCCCGGCCCCTCCGTTCCCCAGCGCCCCCGGCCCTCCACGCGGACCTGCGTTACCACGATTCCTGATCCCTGCTCCCTGCTGACCCCGGTTTTCTGGTTCCTGGTCCCCGACGCACAGTGGTTTAAAATCCTCTTTTAGGGGGAATAAATCGATTTTTCAAAAGTGTCGCAGGGGGCATTCTGGGGGGTGGAAACGAACTATAACACTCCAATACAATATAAAATGACGTTTATAGATTTTTATATGACGCTGGAAGCCACTGGGAAGGGTTTGATTTTAGTCTTTTGTATTTTGATCAAATTTACCTAATTTTCTTAGATGTTTCCTACCCTTATTTTTCCAATGAGGGCGATGGTACTGGTATGTTGGCGTGTTTTTCTTTTCGTTTCATCATTGGCTGAGCGATAGCGAAGCCTGTTACTTCAGTGGGGTTGAAAAGTTTTGTCTGTCTGTCTGTCTGTCTGTCTGTGTGTCTGTCTGTGTGTCTGTGTGTCCGCACTACTCCTCCTGAACGGCTCGGCCGATCTCGGTGAGACTTTGCACACTTCTTGAGTATGTCCTTGGCTCGGCACACGCGAAATTTCACCATCCTAGCTCAACTGGTTCAGTTTTTATAGCCGAAAAACACCTAAAAAACGGCGAAAAATAGAGCTTTCTGCAGATAGATCACTTCTGGCTTGGAGAAAGGGGGGTCTGGAGGGCGGAGCCCCCCAGCCTTAACAAGTTTAAAAGTGACAAGGGTCAAGGTCGTGTTATCTGTAGATAAAACAACTCTATTTAGAATGTAGGGGGGTCTGGGGGGCGGAGCACCCCAGCATTCACCAAGTTAAAAAATAACCGACAATGGACAAGCCATTGCCTGCCGCAGGCAGGCTAGCGCCGCAGGCCAAGGTAGGTACGCCAGGCGTGGATTGGAGGAACAGGCAGCGAGACATCGCGAAGCCTGTTACGACAAGACGCGGTCTGGCGTAAACCTACCTTGTTAATCAAAGGAAAGCAGCACACAGCGCAACATTTCGTTCGCGGTTTGGCTCACGGTGGCGGGTTTTTGCTACAAATGCGTTCAACACATTAAAAAACACTCTTTTGTGGTTTCGGACATCGATGGGGCCCGATGGGGCGTGTGTGAGTAAAAACTGGGGGTTGAGAACACCTCTCGGAGCAGGCAGGCTTGCTCCGCGAGGTGTTCTCAACCCCCAGTGCCTGTGAGGCGGTCCTCCGGAGTTGATAAGAGCGGTGCTGCCCCCCCCCCCTGTCCCCTCGCCAGCCGCCCCCGCCTCGCCTGCTGCCCCCTCCCCCTCCGCCTCTCTGCATCGGCCGTCTCCCCCTCCCCCTCTCCCTCCCACTCCCCCGCATCGTGCTTCGCGCGCAGTGGTGCGTGTGCGAGGCTACTCGGTATGGCGAAGTGATCGGTCGGAATGTGCTGCGAGGCTAGACTGGTATGGCACAGTGCGCGCTCTAACGCTGTGCGCTGGCGCTCCCCGCCGCTCCATCCCGCACACACGCACACACAAACTCTCACACGCGCGCGCGCGCGCGCGCGCACCAGCGCGGAGTGGCATGCACGAGCGACCGGGCTACCTCCTGCTGCTTCCTGCTGCTCTAGTCAAACGCCTGTTGAATCGACAGGTCCTAACCTGTCCAGGTTAGGTTAGTCGGACGCTGATCGCTGTAGAGCACGCACGCATCATGCATGGAAAATTACTCCTGGTGTGCGCTGCACTCGTTGTCTATACAACTAGCGCTACTGCCTCACTGAAATCGTGCAAAGATTCGAGCGTATGGAGCAAAGTTGTTCGCGATTATATATTTCTGCCTGAAGACGCCATATCTGAGCGCGTTGCTGAGTGGTTGACGCTCTGTGAATCGCATAATAACCAATCAGAGTCCTTCCAACCCGACATGCTTCAATCACTGTGGCGGGAGTATACGTCATTCGTGCCCCTCGAAGACTGTTCGTGCCTCAAGACTGGCAGTAGCTCACGGGAAGTCGTCGATGAAATACCGGCTGCGCTCTTTGTAGACTATCCAATCCTAGGCGTTATTCTGCTAGTGCTGGCGTACCTTCTACGCATCTACTATGCACGCGCAAGGCAGCCACTCGAGATGTACGAGCAGCATCTTCACCACGCCGGCAACAATATCTATCGTCGGACCGAGCTGCAGCGGTGAGCGCCAATGAGCGGCCTATGAATATGGCAAAGTATGTACAAATACAACATCTGTATTTGCTCTGTGTTTCAGGAAAGACGACACTAGCGCTGCGGATGCTGGAACATGAAAAAGAAATGTTTTCATCGCCCTTTGACCATTATATGTGGTGCCTGCCAAATGGAAGCGAGCCGCCCAGAGAAATAGCTCAGCGAAGTGAATTTCAAATTCATTATGGTGTGCCTGATGGTGCAACAATAGCACCAAACACCATTGTTATTCTGGATGACCTACAACACGAGCAAGGACTGCAGACTCAACTCCTCTATACAGTGCACTCACACCACAGAAACCTGACAGTGATATCCCTGAATCATTCCCTGTTTCCGAAAAATAGATTCCATCGCGATATGACGCAAAGCACAAAGTACATTATAGCGTGTAACAACCCGCGTGACAGTGCCGCATTTTTTCGCCTGGCCCTTCAGTTGGAGCCCGCCCGTGCTCGAGGACTGTACGACTGCTACCTGGACGCCTGCAAGAAGCCGTTTGGATACCTGCTGTGTGATCTGACCCAACAAGTGCACCCAGCCCTGCGATACCGCACCCAACTGTTTCCGTCCGACGAAGCACTCGGTGTGTACAGTACTGACGAGGACCTACAGCAACTGTTGCGTGACGATGGAGCATACGAGCGATTCTGTGAGGAAAAACATTCCACTCATGCAGGTGCTTCTGAAAGCCAACAAAGTGCGGAGGAAATCGCTTCTGAACAGCCTCAACCGTCAAGAGGTTGACTGTATATGCGAGATTGTGCTGAATGCTGTGGCAGGACCGAGCAAAGCCCGGCTGAGCCCAGAGTGCGTCCGGCAGTGTAGCCGCCATAAGCAACGCATACGCACCCTGGCCTTTAATCACCGCCTGGCCTGGAAAAAACGTCGCGACCTACTCGCCAACCAGACGGGTTCGGGCTGGTTTCTTCCGCTCATCGCCGCAGTCGTGTCTGGTCTGCTATCGAGATGAGTCACTCGCTCAGCAAGCGCATTATCCTCTCGCCGTCTCAGCTGCAGCGCCTGCTAGGGCGCGATCGGGAGCTGACGAGCCGAACGGATGCTGCTCGCCAGACTGCTCTCCGAAGTGCTGCAAAGGACTCGGCGAGCATCGGGCCCTCACAAGCCTACGCCCGCTACCGGGAGATGCAGCAGCGCCATCTTGTGCAGGCCGCCGAGGAGCGCGGAGCTCCTCTGGAGTTAGTCGTGTCGGAGCCGGAGCCAAGAAAGCACTCCGAGGGGCCCATCAAACCGCCAGAGGAGCCGGAATCAAAGCCGGAATCGCCCAAAGCATCTGTAATCCCGAAGAAACCTCCTTCGGCGACCAAGAAAAAGGCAAGAACGTCGCAAATTCGTAAAACCGCAGAGAGAGTCTATGAGGAAATCAGTGGCTCAACTCCGAAGATTCCAAAGAGTATGCCGATGCGTCGCATAGTGCATGATCCTCGCCACTCGCCCGTCAAGACCCGATCTAAAAATCTGCAGAAGTCAACACGCGGTACTCCATCGTCCTCCTCGTCCTCCTCATGGCTCCGGTACGGAAAGAACTAGCGCCCGCACACACGGCGCGCCGCGTGCTCGACAGGCTCTGGACTCAACCGGGCAAATCCTACGCTGCATATGCTGGCCAACACCTCCTCCGCCGTGCTGCGACCGAGCCATCCTCCAGAAAAACAATATTAGGCCCGCAGGATGTGAAAAACTACCTGACTCAAGAGTATGCATATACACAGCATGCTCCACGCCGTGAAAAGTTCCCCAAACCATTCTACAACATGCACAGGCTGTGGCACCTCGTGGAAACCGATCTGATAGAGACTGGACGCGTAGCAAACTTTAACGGAGGAGTGCGCTATTTGTTACTGGCTGTTGAATGTACATCTCGAAAACTGTATGTGAAACCGATGCTAAATAAAATGGGTGAAACCTGCGTTGAAGCATTCAAAGAGTTATTGGAAAACGAGTTTGAACAGACCCCTAGCACTGTGCGTTCCGATAGGGGCAGTGAATATCGATTTAAAGGTTTCCGGAACCTCATGAAGGAACATGGCATTCGCCATCTGTTTGCTAACAACACAGAGAAGTGCTCTCCTTGCGAACGCAGCGGGCAGACGCTTCAGCGGAGGCTCCACAGATACATGACCCACAAAAACACCTATGAATTTATGCCTGTCTTGCAGGACATTGTGAAAAGCATTAACGACACACCCCACAGCTCTACCGGCATTGCCCCAAATAAGTTTAGTGAAAAGGATGTCTATCCATCATGGGAGAAAAATTATCTAAAACACATGCCGCACATACCCGCACAGCGCCCATTCCGCTTCAAACCGGGTGACACAGTGCGGGCATCGCTGCAGAGACGCGGCCTCGACAAAGCCTATCGAGGCACATTCAGCCCGCAGATATTCACTGTCAAAGCTAGGAGAAGCACCCGTCCGCACAGTTACGAGCTGAACAACTCTAAAGGAGAGCCTGTCGCCGGAGTATTCTTTGAAGAGGAACTGATAGCCGCCAAGGACCGGCCAGACCGCCGATACATGATTGAGAAGATTATAGACAGGCGCATTAACCCCCAGACCAAGCGGCGGGAGGTACTGGCGACCTTTGTCGGCTGGCCGCCCACAGTGCGTGAGTGGCTCCCCGAGAACAACAGGAACAAGTGACAACAGGAAGAGCTCTCCCAAAGGATGGACAGCGCGGACTTTAGCGGTGTGCAGCGACTGCCCGACAGCCTGTACCTGCCACTCATCTCTGATTCCTCCGGAGAGGTGTTCGCCAATAACAAGCTATCTCACTTTCGAGTCCAACTGCAGACGCCCCTGTATCTAGGTGAATCAGACTGGGAGTGCGGATTGGCTGAAGTAATTTGGCCCCCTGATGGGAAGAAGAGGAAACATCGGGCCAGCACTCCTGCGGGGAACGTCGACGAAGCAGCACGTGCGTCCTCATCTGCGAGTCGCCACCATGATGCCGCCATCGCGACGTCTACTGACCCCATTGTTGGCGAGGACGAGCCTCATGGCAGCACGCAGACGGAGACGCAGCAGAAAGACGACGAGAGCATCGGCGCCCCTCAGGGGAAGAGGTCCGAAGTGCTCCAGCGCGGTGCGCCACCGCCCTCGTCGTCTGCGGAGACGACAGCCCCGTCTGCGGTGAGCCCCACCGAAGCTGGACGCCCTGCGCGGCTCCCTCGCGCTGTAGTGGGTGGATCCCGTGCATTTATCTACTGTGACCTTATTCGCCCATCCCTCTGCTCGGACTTTAAAGGAAAATGCCTTCGCATCCTGCCCCTTAACCTGGACACTAGACAGCAGGTACTTTACCCTGTGTACTACTTCCCCATCGAAAAGAGAGTGATTGATACTATTTATATAGAAGTGAAGGACAAGCACAACGAGTATCTGAACTTTGCGCCCAGCGAACACCCGCTGGTGCTCGTACTGCACATCAAACGCTCCGCAGTCGCATCGTAGCCGAGGAGTGAGAAGGAGGTCTCGTCACAGCCGCCATTATGGAACACGTTAATCCCTTCTACGCCTACTACGTGGCTCAACAACAGCAAGGCGCTGGATCGGCGTTACCTTACTACAGCTCGCGATTTCGTGTTCAAGCGGGCCGTGGTTGGTTCGGCAATCTTCTGCGCAGTGCGTGGAGGTACCTCAGCCCACTTGCAAGCAGTGCTGCAAAGCATGCTGGGGCCGCAGCCTTTAGTGTCGGCTCCGATATGATGAAGGAAGCTGTAAACAACCCCGGTGAATCTATGAAGAATATCATCAAGCGCCAAGGCAAAGAAGGACTCACGCAGATCGCGAAGGCAGCGCTCAACGGGGCCCGTCAATCTGGCTCAGGACGCCGCGGGAAGCGTCGTCAGTTGGCTTCCAGACGCCGCCCAGCAAAGGCTGCTCCCGCCCGCACCAGCATCCAGAAGCGTGGACACCGCCAGCGCCGTCCGCAGCCCCTGCCCAACGCATCATCCATCCGAGACATTTTCTCCCCACCATCGCCATGAGCTCGGAACTGGAGCCCTGCATGATAAATCAGCTTGATCTGTTTCGCAAGAAGCCGGTGCAGTCATGCATTACGGGACGCATGGTGCAAAAAGTGAAGCCCCTGTCGGCTATACCAGAGGTCCCAGATGTGATTGAGTTCATGTGTCCCGGGCGGCCGCTGCACTATATGGACATAAATAATATAGCCCTGCGACTAAGTGTGTCAATGGTGTGGGCTGATGACAATGTTCTTCGTGCCGATCAAAATGATATAGGTGTTATTGACAATCTCCTGCATTCATTCTTCAGTCAGTGTGAAGTGTACCTGTCTGAACAGCCCGTTACAAAGTCTCCTCATCTATATCATTACAAGGCCCTACTAGATCTACACACGACGAGTGATGAGAATGCTAGAAAGGGTATGCTGTCAACTTTGTTGTATGTGCCTGACGCGAATGCAACCACATCAAAGGCAGCGTGGGACGAGCGACAGCTGGCATTCAGGGAATCTAAAAAGGTTGAACTGATTGGCAAGATTCGCCCTGATGTATGTTATTTGGAAGACGGTGCTTACATACTAGATCAAGTGCCAATCCGCGTACGCCTTACGCTCAATACTCCTGAAATCTACATGGATTCAAACGACGCGGGAAGCTGGGGCAAAATCCGATTTCATGATGCGGAGCTGCACATCCCCTACTATATTGCTAACCCAGAACTGAGTCTTGGTGTGGAGCAAATGCTAAGCCACCAAAGTGCTCAATATAGATATAAATCGACGATGTTGAAGACTTTCCTTCATCCAACGGGCTCTGTGAACTTGAACATACCAGTGGCGTTCTCTGGCAAGTTACCAACGTCTATTCTGCTCACTGCCGTTAAAGCATCTCACTTTAACGGCACCAAAACGTCGAGTCCCTTCGAGTTCCAACACTGTGGTTTTACGGAGATATCATTCATATGTAACGGTAACGAGCGAAGATATGTCATGGACATGAGCAGTCCCTATGGCTGTACGTCTCTCTTAAGAAGCCTCTACACTGAACTGGGGATGGACTATGAGGAAGGCAGTGGAAATGTGTATAATGTGAGAAACATACGCGATGGCGCGTTTGCGTGTGCGGTCGACTTAACTGTCGATCGCTCAGGAACGGGACCGAGCCAAAACATTCAAGAATACGGGACCGTGTCAGTGCAAGGAAGGTTGTCAGCAGCTCTTAATGAAGCAGTATGCATCATTCTGTACGCCAAGTTTGACAGCACCCTAGAAATAAACGCCAGTCGCGAGGTGACCGTACTGTAATAAGCATGAAGGACTACAGCTCGCCGACGACGACTCTGGACCTGACAGCGGCTGCTAAGGCCCACCCGACCCTGCGACGATTCCACATCGGCACCTTCCCGCTGGACGCCCTCGCCGGCCTCAACGTCGCTGGACGGCCCCGCCATCTTATCTACAATGAATCACCGTCAACCCGACCGCCCGGCACCCACTGGGTGTCCATATGGCTCACAAAGGACTTCAAGGCGGAGGTCATGAACAGCCTAGGTCGGCGGCCCCTAGCACCCGAAGTCATTGGCTTTGTTCGGAGAAACAGCGCAAGTGCAGTGTACTCTGATCGACAGATTCAAAACTGGATTAGCAATGTATGTGGCCTTTACTGTCTTAGTCATGGGCTGGCCCGAGCACGAGGATGCAGCCTGGAGTCCTGGATGAGGCAGTTCTCGGATCGGCTGGCTGATAACGATGACCTCGTGCAGTGCCAGTTCATGAGGGAGCTTGCCATCCCCTCCATGTTCTCCCCCTCTCTTCGGAACTGGAAGAAACAGGTAGAACGTGCGTGCCACAACGTCAGTCTGCGCCGTGAACTTAATCTGGCAGGATGGCATCGATCCAGGACGCGCACGTCAGTACCACCAGCGGTGCCGGCGACAGCAGCAGCAACACGCCGTGCCAGGAGGCGTACGAGACCGCCATGTGCTTCATCGCGGACGAGGAGGCTATTGCCACCACCACGGACACCCACGCCCTGTTCCAGACCTACCTAGCCAGTATGTCTGAGCAGGACATCCAGGAACAACAGCAGCAACAGCAACAGCTAGCGGAGCAGCAGCAGCAGCAGCAACAACAACAACAGGTGCAGCAGCAGCCGAACGAGGAGGATGGTTCACCCAAGCCGTCAAGGAAACGTGCTCGTAAACAGAGTGAGTCAAATTTGAATGTAACATTACTCAGTGCGTGTGTGTGTTTGTATGTGTGTGACTTATACTCTGTGCGTGTGTGTGTGTGTTTGCCCTCCTTTAGCCCATCCCCGGCCCATCAAACCCGTAGACATCAGAGTGAAGAGGCAGCGAAAGGAGCGTCCCACTGTTAGCGGTCTTCCTGCTGGGCAGCCAGCAGCAGCAGCAGCAGCAGCGTCAATCAAGCCAAAACGAAAAAAGCAGCGACAAGATAAACAGCAGCAGCCGATGCCAGCACTGCAACCACCCCCTCCACCTGTGCAGCAGCACCAATCAGGCGGGTCCGTGTGTCCCCATATTGAAAGACTGTGTCAGCTGCTCCATGTGTCGTCTGGGGCCCAAATGTGTCCAAGAAATCTCTCAAGTTCTAAATGAGTGTAGTCGCGTCGTGTGTGTGTGTGTGTGTGTGTGTGTGTTTGTATGTTCATGAATATTAATAAAGAGAGAGATGTTCAACTGAGCTAGTTGTATTTTATCATTACTCTCTATTTCCATTTAATTATCAACTGTATATTCATGGGGCAAGATGATGAAGGACATAATAAACTGAGACATACACACAACAGATTTAAAAATGCTGTATCATGGATTATTTATTTTACTTGCTTCAGTGGATATAGACAGTATACAAACACTCACAAACACACTCAAATGACCTCATATATACACGGTCATGAATATTTTTCTTAAAAAAGAAATGATAATGATAGTACAAGTCATGTCACAGTGTAGCAAATACAACTACTCTTTGGTAAAATCACATAACATCCTTGCCACAAGGTGTGGATGACAGTTCAACATGTCATGAACAAAGTTACACTCCATGTTGGCCCAATCAGAGTGATAAATATAACCCTTGTCATGAAACTCTACGTTTTTAATCACAAGATCCAAAGCCTGCTCCTCGGTCAGGTTATCCTGTCCGGCAGTGTATGCGTCCGCCTTCAGAGACTCTAGACGACGCAAAAGCCACTTATCGGTCTCATAGAGACTGACTGAAGCATGTTCAGCTTGCGCTTCAAGGCATGCTTCAGCTCAAACAACCGTTTGCAAGTAACAGCCCCTAGAATAACGTAGCACTCTTTTTCCTCGTCAAGAGCCGAGATTCGCAGTCCCGGCTCCGAGTTACGCAACAACGTACACTTGAACTCAAATCCGTCGCTTTTCATGCTCTTACCGTACGCAGTGGGCTCGCTCAGATGCTGCAGAACGGTGTCCACCCACGAGCGGTCCAGAAGATGCTCCAGGTCCCCACTACGCAACTTGATGCCGAGTCCAGAGGCGTTCTCAATCGCCACACAGATGTGCAGCCTCCTCTCGAGACAGAGGCCGATAACAATCCTCTTGGACTGGGAAGGGTTAAGCGGGTACGCCTTCTCCAGCACCCACTTTGGTGGTCCTTGCCTTGTAGCGAGAAGTCGCCTGGTTGCCCTCTTGAGGTCTGCAAAGTCAGGCTTCGGCCCGAAGACGCGCCTTTCCTCCATGGCCTCCATCATGGCCGTCTGAGACGGCTGGAGGAGAGTGTCATCAGGCACCTGAGATGATGCAGCCATCTCTGAAAAACAGACAACACGCCGGCTGTTAGAACTCATGAACTTACTAACCAGTTTGCCGTAACGCGCGCGCACACACACACAGACACACTTACCAGGGCTTGCAGGGGAGCGTGGCTCAGACATGAGTACAGCTATGGTGGTGGTGGTGGTGGTGCTAGTGGCACAGCAAAGACGACGAAAACGGCGGCGACGGTGACTAGGCCTTGCTTGCTTGCTTCAGTGTGCGCTGTTCCTGCTGCGGAAGGCAACTGTGGTTAGTCCCTGCTCGGGCCCAGCAGTTATATCGGCCCACCGCCCCTCCACCCGACGGAGGAAGGGCGGGTGGGTGGGATGGTACCTACCTACCTGCTGGATGTGTGTGTGTGTGTGTGTGTGAGTGTCTGTTGGACTGTTGGGCTAGCCGGCTGGCTGCCTGACTCCACAGACATCGAGCTGCAATCGGCCGGCCGGTGGGTGCGCGCACGCGCGCGCGCGCGGGGCGGTTGTGAATCCGCGACCCGCGGGCGGACGGGACGGGACGGTCGCGCGCGCGCGGCTGCGGATCCGCGAGCAGCGCCCGGGCGGCCCGCACGCGCGCGGCTGCGAATCCGCGAGCAGCGCACGGCGGCGCGGCTGCGGCACGGCGGCGCGGCGGCGACGGGGGCTCCTGCCCGGCCCGCACGGGCCGGCACGGCACGGCTCGGCTGCGACGCACCATCAGCTGCAGCAGCAGCAGCAGACAAAGTACCCTCACTGTTCGTTCAGGAGGACTTTAAGTGCATCGATCATCTCTGGATCAAGCCCCAGGGCCTCTTCTCCCCAGTCATCATCATCATCCTGTGGGCGTAAGTAGAGAGATACAGTGAGGCGCAGCAACATCGCTAACATGTAGACAGTAAGGAAAGTGGGAATACGAGACACGACACTGTGCAAACACTGACTAATATAAAGATGAATTGACATTTTCCGACAGTGTATACACTGGGCTCACCCTAAGGAATGCGGCAACGGCCGAGGCAGCCTCGACCTCGTCAGCCTCGGCCCGGTCGACCGCCTGATCTACCTGGGCGGCGACGTCGGCATCCATGTCCTCCCAAAACATCTGCCATGAGATAAGAAAGGGTTAGATACATGCGACTCCGCAGACTGCACTTAGGCTCGTCGCCACACACACACACACACACACACACACACACCTGGTTGTTGTCGTCGTCCTCCTTCTCCTGCTGCTCTCCCTCTCTGAGTGGGTCATAACCATAGGAGTGCGTTTTAATTCCGCAGTCTAGGATGTACCTTTTCCCATCAAAGTTCCTGAGACAGGACTTCGTCTGAGCAACGGTAAAGAGGTTATGTCTGCGGTCGGTCAGAATGGAGCTGCTCTTCACATACTTAGCGGCCCCATTCATCACACAGTTTTTGTAGTCGTCAAAAGTCACCGTCCGCCTGAGGGCAGACTTGTTTACCCCTTTGCACTTCATGACGACAGAGCGCTCACCTTTCACCCCCGCCACGTCAAGGGAGTACACTTTAGCGCGGACTCCACAGAACCGCAGGATGTTAAAGTGGCCATACTCAATCTTAAGTCGGCCCTGGACACGAGCGTACGTCTGGTCATACAGAGGATGATCCTTTGGCAGGCCGCTCGTATCCAGGATGGGCATAAGGGAGCGCAGGTCCGCCACGAGGTCAGAGGTTTCAATTTCCACGCCTAGAGAGTCGGTGTCCGTGACCAGGAGTTTCATGCGTGATCCTAGTTTGTTCTTGAGCTCCGAGTATATCTCCATCATCAGTTTCTTGCTGGTGTCAAGCACAGTCAGACCCGCCGTGGGAAGGTTATTCATCCGAACCACAGACTGCGCCCGCTCAACAGCAACGAGTTCATCGGCGAAAATGGTGAAACTTTTAAACGTTGACTGTGCGGCCAGCTTCCGGAACTCCTCTCCAGTCCGCACCAAGTCGACCTTGCGATGCAGGCGCGGATTCATCAGGAGCTGGCCATAAATCACGTTCGCGAATATCTGAAACAGAGTACATATTCTGCTTACAAGTCTGATGCACGCACGCACGCACACACGCACGCGCACCTCTTTGAATGCGATACTGACCTTCCACACATCCTGTTGAAATTTGTACTGGGCATTTTGACGCTCCGTCATGAGATCCTGGATGTAGGGCCGTAAGTACGGGGCCTGCCTGAACCGTATGCCCGAGTGGATGGCGTCCACCCTCACTCCCATTTTAATGTATGCCGCCAGAACGAGAGCGTGGACGAGGTAGTTCTTTTTCGGGTGGAGATGGGCAACCAGTTTCTCCTCAGACAGCTGGGCTTTTTTAAGGCCGCAATCCCGTATCATGTCCCGTTGCACGTTGCTGTACCACTCCGGCGGAACTTTACATTTTTCAACGGCAGGTGGAAATTCATCCAATCGAGAGCGCAGGTGGCGGGGAACGGAGAGGTCCACAGACACAATACACATGTGCTCATCTTCCTCACTCAGCTCCTCCCATTTGATGCCGTCCAGTTCCTGTTGAGACATCCATTTATAATCCCCAACAGAAAGGGGTTTTTGCATCATGTGGCTGTAAAGCGCATTGACATCAAACAGAAGAATGTGCTTTTCGGGCTCCTCTGGCTTATATGTAGGTGTTCCAGGAATGTTTGCCTCAGAATATCTCTGGTGCACTCCAGCATAGCCGCCTCTCACCCCTGAAGATAGCAGAGCATGCATTTGCGGGTCGCTGACACGCTCAACGACAGCCCCCGTAAATTTGTACATGCAGCACATGCTGAGGGAGGACGCGGACACAAACCAGTGAACTTCCAGTCCATATTTTTTGTAGATCATGGATCGAAAGCGGTTCATGAATTAGGCCAGCAGGATCACGTCCGTCTTCAGGTAGTGCACAGTGTAGTCTAGTAGTGTCTTACATCCAAGGCCGCTCCACACCGCCTTAGCTCTCTCGTACTCCTCTTCGGACACAGTGTCTCCAGTCAGTGATGAGTAAAAAGCATCGATACCTGGTAGTTGGGTCTCTTCCACAAGCTGTTGGTAGCTCTGCACGTGTTCGTAACAGTACACGCCTTTCCGCATCAACAGATCTCGCAGTCTCTTGTTGGGGTACACCTGATACAGCATAAACAGATCGTGTGGACTAAGTGAGGTCGAAATAGTGTCCAACGAGGCGCTCACAAAGTTAAAACTGTCCAGAAACTTGATGGAACGACGCTGTTTTCTGTTGATGTGTATCGTGGCGGACTTGTACGAATCGTGAGTAGTGGGCAACACATCGATGCTTTTTCCGACAAGCATAGGGTGGGAGATGAGAGCCTTGAACACACAATGCATGTCATAGCGCTGTGCATTGTGTGCCCAAAATGTAAGTCTGGACTCTCTCTTTTTCGCCCCGTTGCATTTGTTGTGCGCCGCGCCAATGTATGAATGGAACTGTAAATTATGGTCGTGGTCGGCACACTTTGCCAGTCTGGGCTCAGTCTCACTGAACGGTTTCCGACACAGGTAGCACACTGTTGCGGCCTCATGCTGTTCGATCTGATCATCACTCATATGAATGGGGTAGTTTGGCCGCCTCTCATACAGTTCTGCTTCCAGTCGGAATGCCTCAGTGAGAAACATGCCGGCCACGTCATCCTCCTCTGTCCCATGCTTTGTCACTAGTGTTGGTTTTTTTCCGGAAAAATTAAATCAGCCGGAAAAAAACATACTTTTCCATGTTTTTTTCCGGAAAAAATGGAAAAGTATGAAAAATTCAAAAAAAAGCGTAATTTAGTTTAAAAATATTACTGGATAATAGATTGTCGTGTCTAAAACCTCGGATTTGGTAAATATGACGATGTATGTCCACGCAATATCTACTTTGCGTGGGCCCTGAAGGCATTTTCACGTTGGGTTTGTTTGAAGTTCCCGCTTGATGACACGTCTCTCCCGATTGGTCTATACTAGGCTCCATATCTCCCTCCTGCTCCCTCCAACCCTCCGTCCCCTTCCCTCCCAGAAGCACCCAGAAGCGAGCAGGTGTGGCTAGGCGGCAAGCGGTGGCAGCGGGCGAGGTGCGGAGTAAATAAGTCGGTGGCTTTTTTAACGGTAAGTCAAATGACACAGACACAACCATGAATGAATAGCGAAAATTACAAGAGTTTAGTTACGAACGGTCAGAGAGCTTTGATTTAGAGTACGGTTTTGGTTTTCATAATCTCTGGAGTCAAATTCATTCAAAAGAGGTTAGGTTTCTGTGAGCCTATGTTCATTTACTGATATTTTCCTGCTCTTTTGTCTTTTTCAGCATCAAATTCACGTTGATACGTTGTTAAAATGCCACCCCAAAAAAGTGCAATATGGAAGCACTTCGAGCATATCATGGACGAAACAGACAAAGACAAGATAAAAACTGTTATATGCAAGTATTGCACAGATGCCAAATACAACTTTCCAAATGCAAGTCGCATGAAAACCCACATCAGTCAATGTCCTAAGTGCCCAGACTATATAAAGCAGAAGTTTCCTGCTCCTAAGAAAGGTTAGAACTTGATCATAAATATTTTATTTTAGTTGCTAATCAAACACTAAAATCCACCGTTGTTTTGTTTTCCATTGAAATTAATTAGCTTTTATATTTTGTTTATCAGGTCATTCAAATTTAGAAGAGGAAGAGGATGATGTCGAAGAAGTTGTTGAGACTGCAGCTGCAGCACAATCTCAATCGCAATCCCAACCCAAGGCGACTAACTCTTCCATGAAAAACACTCCTGCCAGTAAATCTAAAATTTCTTCGTATGTTCATTACATGACCAGTGATCAGAAAAAATATCAAGATAAACTCATGGCTAGAGCTGTGTTTGCTAAAGGTGCGCCTTTATCCATATTTGAAGGACCCCATATGTTGAAAGCAATTTCTAACCTGAACAACGCTTACAAGCCTCCAGACCACTGCAAATTGGGAGGGCCTCTTCTTGACGCTGAATATGATGAAGCAACGAGAAGCAACAAGAAGAGAATTGATGATGCTGTGTGTGTTGTCTTAATGTGTGATGGTTGGACAAATCGCAGATCGGATGGACTTATAAACTTTCTCCTTGCTACTCCGTACCCTGTTTTCTTAAAAACCATTGAGCAAGGTGCCAACAAAGAAGATAGTGATTATGTTGCTTCCTTGTGCATTGATACAATTGAAGAGGTTGGCCCGTCTAAAGTGTTCATAATCATAACAGACAATGCCCCAGTCATGCGAGCTGCATGGAAGAAAGTTCAAAGGAAGTATCCCAAAATTTTTGCAGCTGGGTGTGGGGCTCATGGACTTGACTTGATCATCAAACATTTGTTTAAGAAGGGGGCACCTAAAACTTTGTATCAGCAAGCTAAATCTGTGATCAAGTACATCAAGAGGCGCAAGGTTGTTCATGCGCTCTTCAAAAAGCAGCAAGAGGATAAATATGGCTCCGATACCAGAGAGCTGATACTACCTTCTCCGACAAGATTCTTTGGGGCTTTTTCTTGTCTGGATTCGCTTCGGAAAAATAAGGCAGCCCTCCAGTCCACTGTGATTTTAGAAAGTATTGACGTTCCTAATGACATTCGCTCAAGGGTTTTAGATAATGATGGATTTTGGAATCATCTTAATGTTTTATGTGATCTTATTCAGCCTGTTGCTGAGGGAGTTCAAATTCTTGAAGCTAATGATGCTAAGCTGTCTCATCTTGTTCCCATTTTGATGAACATAAGGCACTGTTGGGATAACTTTGTAGATGAAGATGGTGACTTAGATACCATCAACCCCTTCAATATTATAGACACCGATAGAATAAGAAGTATTGTTCCCAGTGCTATCAAATTTATTCTCACTGACTTGCACTTGGCTGCATATTTGATTGACCCTAATTTTTGTGGCAAAGGCTTAACTGACAATGAAGTGATGTTGGCAACCGAAGTAATCAAAAACATTGCTTTACAGTTAGACTGTGATGAGGAAAAGGTCCTCTCAAATCTGCTTGATTTCCGCTCCAAGAGTGGTCATTTTGCTAACAATACCCTCTGGTCCAAGTCACACACTACTGACTCACTCAAGTGGTGGCAATATTTTTGCAGCGAACAGTATTTGTATCCCGTCGCTGTAAGAATTATGACATGTTGCCCCACCTCTACCAGTTGTGAGCGTATCTGGGCTGGTTATGAAAATATTCATACAAAGAAAAGAAATAAGTTATTGAATAAGAGAGTAGGAAAACTTGTTGCTACAAAGTGGTACCTGAATGAAGAGCTACTTTATAAGAAATTTGAAAAAATGAAAGAGAGCCAGGCTCACAGGGTTTCAACAATGAAATCTTATCCCACAGCTAGTCTTACTCCTGATATTGTGCTTGAAACCACTGATAGTGATGATGAATACTGTACTGATTCTGATCCTGATTCAGAATTTGAGAGTGATATTAGTGATTCTGAATAATCATAATTGGTTATTTTATTCTATATAATAGTAAAGAGAGTGATATTAGTGACTCTGTATGATTAAAATTGTTAATTTTATCTTATGTATAACAAGAGCGATATAAGTGACTCTGAATTATAAAAATTTATTTTATCTCATGCGTTTGTAATAAAAACAAAGTGTTTTCAGAAAAAAATATTTGTTGCATCAATACTTGAAAACCTTATTCGTATTTATCAGAATTTAATTTCCCACACCATACAGTCTTGAGGGGCTTTAGAGGTAATTGGGGTATTAGATAAATTAAGATGTTTCTCATTTAAATACTTCCCAATCACAAAAAGAAAAAACCTAGTTAAAACACTCAAAAGTTAAAAAATTTTCAAAATTGGAAAAAAACGAAAAGTATAGCCATGGAAAAAAACGAAAAAAACATAGGAAAAAAACGTATTTTTCCATGTTTTTTTTCCAACTTCCCAACACTATTTGTCACCATCTGAACAAGATCACCATGAACATTGGTGACTAGGATCGAGAAGGCGACAGGCACGTGGCGCTGGGTGCGTTGTGTTTTCCTTGGGGTGCCATCTGGCGTCTCTGAAATATAATAATGCAGTGCATAAATAAGACAGACAGACATTTATAAACGTGTGTGTGTTCTCTCTCTCTCTCTCTCTCATCACATACTCACCTTCTACTTTTGGCAGGGCGCATTCAAAGTCATAGTATGCGTTGAAATAGTCTAGCTGGCACTTTTTGAACTGTGACTGATCGAAGCATGCACTTCCAGGCATGTAGTCAACTCTTTGCGCCCCCAGCGTGCGACACACAGCCTCGTGTTCGGCAAGCTTGGATACTTTGCCGTTCCCTTCATTGCGCGGCCATATAGGGTTAAGGCAGTAACTACAGAACTCGATGCGATTGTTCCATTTTCGCCCACAACTCATGAACGAGTGGAAGTCCGTAACGAGAACGTAGTGACTGCGCCCAGTCACCTCATTGTCAAGCAGAAGGAGAGTCACGTGGTGTTGTTTCTTCTCCTTTGTGCAGTACTTGACAATGATGCGTCTGTTCCGTTTTCTGCCCTCTAGGTCAGCATCGTGTACATCGCCAGGTTCAACGCACGCGGCGGCTGGATAGGAGTGCGCTGCGTCCGCAGCAAGTTCAGTGTCGTCCGTAATGTTTTCATATTCATCTAGCTCGTCCTCCACGACCGCCGACAGGACACAGATAGAGATGTTCGGATTCATTGACTCGAATTTAGGAATATTAGCGACTTTCATCGGCCGATACACCTCGGGGGCCCAGTCACCCATATTTAACTCCCCGAGGTAGCGCCGATATTGAGCAGGCCTATGGCGGTTTGCTCTGATGTCTTTATAATGAATGTGTGCTAGTACAGAGTACTCAAAACAGCGATTGTCTGTTTTATTAGCTATATTCAACAATGACTTACGCCTTTTACCAATCCAGTCCGGAACGGGCATGAAGCTGCCACCGCTTTCCTCCCGACTACCCACCACGGGGCGGTAGTCGGCAGTGTTTAGGTCTAGTGACAGTACTGCTCCAATGACCCAGTTACTTCCTTCCAGGTATATTTGCTCTGCATTGTTAAGCACCTCTAATATGGCCGTTTCAATCTGCTCTGGGATGGATTCGGGGACCTTCAGGAGTCGCTGTAGACCGCTTCGAAGAGACTTCTCGGCAGTCTCGACAACCAACTGTCCCTCTTCGTCTCCGGGTATCTCGCGTCTACATTCTATGTTTGTCACGAGCCACCACTTGAGACCACCACTGGATTCATCCAAACATTGAGCCAGTTTTTCAATTAGCCGTTGTTTATATGCAATGAGTGCGGCATCAATATCAACCTGGTCGGCTAGTGGGAGTGTGTGCACCTGAGCCTTGTCGTGAACAGAAAACATGGTCGTCCAGCCAGCGTCTTTATCAGTCTGTTGTTGTTGTTGTTGATGTTCGTCTTCGTCGTCGTCTTCGGAGTGACCGTTATCAGCACCCGCGCCGCCACCATCAAGGACTGGGGGAGCAGGCGCCACCGCTGGCGCACGGCCGGACACCAGGTCGACGTGATTGGCACGCCAGCGGCAGGACTGAAAATGCCTCGTGCGCGCCCCTGGCGATGTAAACGTTTCGCGGCAGTATACACACAGGAACGTTGCATTCTCCAACGCGACACAGCGATGCGAGCGGAACACCTGGGGACAGTCAAAGGCGCTACAACAACGATCACATGCCCGCGCCTGGCCGTGTTTTGAGCGATAATGATCACACAGCAGCTCATAGCTTGTCCGCCACACATTGCAGCGAGGGCACGAAAAGCGCTCCGGCCGGTTGGCAGCGTGAGCCCTTTCACAGTGACGCTGCAGGTTGCTAGTGCGCGAGAACGTCTTGGGGCAGTGAGGGCAGTGGCAGCGTCCGGCAACAATGCGGGCAGCAGCAGGGGCTGCAGGGGCTGCCTGCTCCCCGCGTGGGGCTCTTGCTGCTGCAGTCGGATCAAAATGCAAGGCCTGGCCAGGAGCCGGAGCAGCCGGCACCCCTAGCTGGGTCAGCGTGTCCATGGTCGCATGACATGCCATATGCCGATCCAGTAAACCTGGCGACATGCAGCTAACCCCACACAGAGGGCATCGGCGAAAGTTATTCGCACGTGAACCTGCGGACCGCCCTGAGGGCCCTGCACTGTTAAAAAAAGTCTGAAAATTCAGACCAAGTTTTTCAGACCTAGTGGTCTGAATCTGAAATTCAGACTTGAGTCAGAATTTTCAGACAGTTGGTCTTAATTTTACACCTTGTGGTCTGAAAAATGAGTTTCGGACTTAAGAGTCTGAATATTTGGATGGCGCGGTAAAAATTTTCGGCGTCGGGGTCTTAAAACAGTCATTTGTAGCAGAAGGTCTGAATTTTCATCCTGCGCAGTCTGAAATTGACGCTTTATTTTCTGATAAAAGGCATGACTGCGTTTTAGGTGCTATGGACCCTGAATTGCTAGAGCAGTAGTAAATAGACTTTTGCTCAGCTAAGCGAACGGCCGTCTAGTGTTGAGTTTAAAATCAGCCTGCACTCCGCTGGTAGCTGCAGGATGCGACATGTTTGCCCTGGTTCCGGCCTGGAACGAAGCCCGGGTCACCCGAGCCGAGCCGCTCCGGCGGCGGCCAGCCGAGCAAGGCACACCGAGTCGAGCCGGGGCGTTCGGAAAATCACCGCGGACCGGCGTGCCGGCCGCAGCCTACCTGCGCGGGGCGGGGGGAGAGGAGGGGGCCCTTAATCCCTCGGCCACTCGGGATTTCTGGACAGAATGCGTCAGTTTTAGCTTGTCTCTAGACCAGTGCACATCGCATCCGAATACGAGTCCGCGTCGCGTGTCATCTTTCTTGTGACGCTCCGTCGTCAAGCAACGTTTTATGTGTTACATCGGCGCTCAGCACAGTGTGTACAGTGCCGTTTTGCCTTCGCCTTTCCGTGCTCCGAAATCGCTTCTGGGTGCGTGCAGTCACTACTCTGAAGCATCCGAAATCCGCGGCAAGCAGGCTGTGAAAGTGGCGTAGCCTTATACTGATATTGCGTCTTCCAAACTAAAGGGACGGGTGATGAGCGAGTGGGTGGCGTTTTGGAAATTTGCCACTCCTCTTTCATCCTCGTCCCCAAAGTATTTTCATCGTGCCGGAAAAGTTTCCACAAAGTGTGCATCTGGATCCAACATGCTGCTTTCCAGTGTTTACAGCTGCATCTCCTGGAGTCTTACATTCGAGGACTAGGTTTGTTTTTGGGAAGCTCTCTCAGCAAAATATCATATCTAGTAAAAGTTTTGCGCAACTTTGGGTGCTACATTTAACAACAAGAGCTGTTTTACAACTGCTCTATTTAGTGCATGCATTCCATGTTTCTCAGCAATTTAAAACATGCATCTCCAAAACATAATATACATCCTGACAAGTGGTAATTATATTACCTGGGCGGCTTAGAATTCAAACCCGCGAGGTGAAAAATTCAGACTGCCATTAGTCCGAAAATTCAGACTACCTGGTAGTCGTAAAATTCAAAGTACTTGCTAGTCTGAAAATTCAGACGACAGGTGGTCCAAAAATTCAGACTGTCCGGGGGTCTAAAATTTCAGACCACTGGGTTTCAAAATTGACTTCATCCTAAAAAGTCTGAAAATTTCGACTTTTTTTTTAACAGTGTGCGCTTCCCGCGTGGATAAGTTGGTGGGTCTGCAGTGCCGCCAGCGACACGCACTGCAGCAGACACTCGGCACAGCGGAAACCCGCCATCTATTATTTAGGGCAACAGACGAGACACACGCACACTCAACAACATTTCTATTAGTAGAGTTGTATTGACTATGCACACACACGCACACACACACACACACACACACACACACATGAACACTCACCTTCGGCCGACACAACGATTCACTATGATATGCACAGGTTTACAGTATTTTCACCTTCAGCTCTTGCAGACACACACTCGCAGAGGGCACAATTCAGTCTCAGATGGCGGGGCGGGGGCGGGGCGGGGCGGCCGCACAGTGAGAGAGAGAGAGTGTGAGTGACAGAGACCGCCCCAGCCACGACGTGTTGGCACCACAACGCTGCAAGGATTAATACGAGAATTATTATTATTATTATGTATTCGTAAACACACACACACACACACTCACACGTACAGCTTCATACAGCGGGGCGCGGAGGGGCGCGGAGGGGCGGGGAGACTGCACAGCGGCGACGCCACCAGCGGCACACCTCGGGCCGACGACCACAACACTGCAACAGTTTCGCACTTAATTATTATTATTACAACACACACACACACACACACACACACGCGCGCGTCTGGACTTACCTGCAGCCTTGCGAGTGCACACACACACACACACACACACACACACACGAGCACACCCGAGGCGGTCGAGGAGACAGGGCTCTGTGTGCGGGCGAGTTCCGGGAGGGTTTGAACGGGGCCTAAGGCACTACACTGCCCCTCGCAACGGACGTGGTGGTCGTGGTGGTGGCGGCGGCGGTGGTGGTGGTGGAGGCGGTAGCGCTCCACCCAGGGGCGGGCGACGGCGGGCGGTGGAGGGAAGGGGGGGTCAGCAGACAGCCTGGAGCCGGCGAGGCGCGCGCGCGCGGGGATGGGCGAACAGGTAGGCAGGCCTGCAGGCGAGCGGGTAGGCACGCAGGCAGGCGCCGGCGAGGCGATAGCGCCACACTCCCTGCGCCTGGAGTCCGTGCGCGGCCGGCGGGTTGGCGTCGCTGGGGGGCAGCACGCTGTGACACGGCGGGGGCGAGGCCGGGCGGCGGCAGCGCCTTCTACCCTGCCCGCCAGCACGATAGACGGGCGGACGGACGGATGACAGACCGACAGCCACGGCAGAGCTGCGGGGGTCAGGGCGGGCGGGCGGGAAGCCTCAGCCAGGCTCAGCAGACAGCCCGGAGCCGCGGGGCCGCGGGGCCGCCTGGACGGTCAGACCGGCCGGCCGGCCGACCGGCGGGCAGGTAGGCTGCCAGGCAGGTAGGCACCGAGCGAGGGCGGCGGCAGCCGGAGGGTGGCGACGGCGAGCAATGCGTAGCTGGGTGTGGCACGGCGCCACTCGGCTCGGTGATCGACGGACGGACGGCTGACCGACGGACGCGGCAGGGCTGCGGGGCTGCGGAGCGGGACGGGGAGGGAGGGGGATGGTGGCGGAGCGGCGCGCGCCTTGGCGTGCCTCGGCGCGTCAGAGCGGAGGCACGCGGCCGCACCCCTCGCACGCGGGACGCAGGGGCGCACGCGAGGCGCGCGCGAGTGTCCGACGGGTGGCGCGAGGGCGGACGGCTTAAATGCGGCGCCTACTGAAAGACACCTTCCGGGTCAGTCTCACCACCGTCACTCTCCTCAGCCGGCGCGGGGGCGGGGGATAGAGGGGCCTCCTCGGATTCTTCTTCCCATTCTTCTTCTTCTTCCTCCCATCCCTCTTCCTCTAGCTCATCCACGGCGTCATCTTCTGCTAGCACTGAACTGCGATACAGTTTCGAACCATCACACTTGCACTTAAAGTCACTGAATTGAAGTTCACACCCACACAACTCACACTGGCGGGGAGTCATTTGCTCCGTCACTTCTTCCATAATCATGAAGCCAACAGTTCTGTGGCTGCCCTCATGCCTAATGCACGAGTAATCCGTTAGGTCCCAGTATCCCACGTGCCTCTCGCAAAAATAATGTTTCTCAAACTGCGAGTGGCGCGACTGGCACACGTATCCACGTGTCACAATGCAAGCAGAATACCACGGCTCCCACGCCGCCTCATTGCCACCTGCAGCTGCAACTGGAGCTGGAGCTGGATCAGGAGCTGGATCAGGAACGGGATCAGGAACGGGATCAGAGGCGGGATCCATGATCCGGAGCAGCCGACACCTGCCGCGGATCACACACACACACACAAAGACACATTAGCACTCGCACAACACTACACCACACTGCAAAATGGCAGACATACAGACACACACCTCTCTCTCTCTCTCTCTCTCTCTCTCTCTCTCTCTCTCTCTCTCACACACACACACACACACACACAGACACTTACCTGGCGATGCACCTGCTGTCACTGCTGTCACAACAGACGTCAATCACTCACTCCTCCACCCGTTCGAAGCTGTACGCCGGCCTCAGGGTGAACGAAGGGACACAACCGCAGTCGTAGATAATCTCGCCGCATACTTCATCGCACACGTCGCAACGATGATGGCCGTTGAAATTGTTGACAGCGCTCGCCCTGGTGTGGTAGGGGCGAGTCTCGTGGTACTCGGTCTTGAGAATAGTGGTGCAGGGTTTTCCTCTGTGCGAGCTGTCGGCCGGAATGTCCCACGGCAGATGTGATTCGCAATACACAAGCTGTTCACCACAGTCGTAGAAAACGCGGTACGCCTTTATGTGGATGCATACAATCACACGCAGCATATTGGACAGGCATGCGTCGGCGTGCCGCCTGACGCACGCACGCTGATGGTTAAACGAGCAGCCGATTTTCGCACTTTCTCACTTGCGCTATCACAGACACACACACACACACACACACGAGCACGCGCGTGCGAGGACACAACGACACAGATGCGCGATGCAGACGACGGTGCGCGCGCGCGTGCGCGGTGCGCTCACGGCCTGACGCTGGCGTTCGCGCTCTCGGCGTGGCCCGGGACGACACTCGACGACGACGTGCACTTGGCGATGACAACACAGACACTGCAGGACGCAGGCCTCCGGACCGTGGATCGGGCCTCGGATTGCATCGAGTACCTTTCGCGGGGTGCGGCCAAACAATGCGCAACGCAACGTCGTGGCGCCAGGCGCCTGGCGCCAGGCATGCGAAGGATCCGGGCAGCGCGCAGGTCAATCAGTCCGCATAAAAAAAAAGGGTGCGTCCGCAGGGTGCGGCACCTCGGGGCGCGTCCCGGCGAGGGCCGGCGAGGGCGGACACGGACGCCACAGTTGTCTCAGCCTTCGCCGCGGCGACACTTCAAGAGCACGTTCGTTCGTTCGTTGGTGTCTGTGCGTGTGAGGGCCCTGCGTGTTCCCACCAGTGTACGTGTGTGTGTAGTTGTTGTTGTTGCTGTTTCTTGTGCAACGTTCGCTAGGATGAGCAGCATCTATGTAGATTGTGGTAAGTACTACTTTGTTTGTTTTGGCCCGCTTTGCGTGTTGGAGTGTTGGGATTTTTTTTTAACATGGCTGTTGCGTGTGCAGGACGCACGGGGGCGGCAGAGCCAGGCAGTGAGGCGCAGATCGGGAGCAGCTTCTTAGATTGTGGTAAGTACTACTTGTTTGTTTGTTTGTTTTGGCCCGCTTTGCGTGTTGCAATGTTGGGATTTTTTTAAGCATTTGTTGCGTGTGCAGGATGCACGGAACCCTGCCTGAATACAGCCGACAACTGTCACATACGGGAGGCGGCAGAGGAAGACAGGTGGGCGGAGAAGGAGGCTGAGGAGGCGGAGGAGCGCCGTCAGCAGCGCCTCCTGCAAGAGAGCTACGAGCTCCACCTACAGGAAGAGGAGGAGGCCATGAGGGAGATCCAGCTCGCGGAGCTGGAAGACAACTATATGCGTGCGCACCTGGAAGCTGTTGAGGAGATGGCTCGTGAATAAATAAATGACAATAATACCAGCCAACATTCCTGTCATTACTCGGTTTTCCATTCCCTTTTTGCCTGAGACGTGTTTGTGTGAGCGAGTGACACTGTGAGAGTGTCCGCACGCAGCAGAGGGGAGTGGGCGGGGAGCACCAGCGCGCAGCGTCAGCGCCAGAGCGCGCACTTTGCCATACCAGTCTAGCCTCGCAGCACATTCCGACCGATCACTTCGCCATACCGAGTAGCCTCGCACACGCACCACTGCGCGCGAAGCGCCACGCGGGGGAGTGGGAGGGAGAGGGGGAGGGGGACACGGCCGCTGCAGAGAGGCGGAGGAGGAGGGGGCAGCAGGCGAGGCGGGGGCGGCAGGCGAGGGGACAGGGGGGAGGGGAGGGGGGCAGCACCGCTCTTATCAACTCCGGAGGACCGCCTCACAGGCACTGGGGGTTGAGGACACCTCGCGGAGCAAGCCTGCCTGCTCCGAGAGGTGTTCTCAACCCCCAGTTTTTACTCACACAGGGCGGAGTTATTGGTGCGAGGCGCTTCCCTTACATGTATACAAGGTAGGTTTACGCCAGACCGCGTCTTGTCGTAACAGGCTTCGCGATGTCTCGCTGCCTGTTTCTCCAATGCGCGCCTGGCGTACCTACCTTGGCCTGCGGCGCTAGCCTGCCTTCGGCAGGCAATGGCTTCTCCATCTCCATCGTCGATTTTCCTAACTGGTTGCGTGCTGGGGGGCCCCGCCCCACAGTGGTCGAATCACCTCAGTTTTCTGGTCATAAGTACAAAAGTGATCTTAGCACCGTTCTTTCTGTACCATATACGTTTTTTGGGTCGCTGATTTCGATTTTGATATAGCCAGCTCAAAATTTTTTGTCCAGGGGCGGTTAACGCATCCAAAAGGGGGGTAAAGTTGTTAAAACCAGTGTTCAGCGCACATTTTTCACCTGCATGTTCGTTGTTTGCGTGTCCGACTCCGAATCTGATGTAGCTGTTTCAAATTTTCACGTCCAGGGGCGGTCAATTTTCAAAAAGGGGGATAAAGTTTTGTGTATGTGTACTTAGTGCGCTTTTTATACCCGCCTTTACGTTTTTTGGGTCGCTGAATCCGAATCTGGCATAGTCGATTCAAGTTTTCATGTCTAGGAGCGGTAAACGCCCAAAAAAGGGGTAACATTATGAATAAAGGGTTCAGTGCACTTCTTTCTCTGGCATAACTGGTCCGAGAAAGCGGAATTTCTTCTCAACATTTGCCCTCAGCTACTCGCCACAAAGTAAATAAGTCCCTGATGGAAAACATCTTGCCCGTATCATGGATAGACTTCCGAAGTGCTGCCGCCTATGCCGTTCACATTACGGCTTCGACAGGTCTTAACAGCTCTCGACAGTTTTTCAGCTCCTGCCAGGCTTTCATGGATCCGGATGGGTCATGACTAGTGCACCGAGTCTCAACAGACCGTGCCAAATGTTCAAAAGCTTCGGCGTCAGGTTCCGGCGGGTTTGGCGCTGTCTTGTTTGGGAGGTGCCTATTTTAAAATTTACCTGTATTTTTGCCGTTATTTTTATTCTTACTCCATCTCCTTCCCCCTCCTCCACCCTCCACACCTGAAAAAAGTTTCTTTGGTGCTAATTTACCTTTGAGAGCTGCTACGGTAATTTATATTTTGTTGGACATAGCCAATTATGGAATAAAATCCACGCTTTTGAGCGATTTTGCCTGAAAAGCTACTGCAACGACGAGGTTTTTCGGTCATAGATTCGAAAGTCGGAAACGGACGGCAAAAAACTCAATGCGATTGTTTAGAGGACACTTGGGGGAAGGTCCCTGACCCAGAGGGACGACCGTGTTTTATCATGTTCTAAAGTAGATTCCTGTTTTTTTATAAAATTTAGTTAAACTTGTAAATGTTTTGAAAACGTGACTTTTCCAACGTATGGAAGGCTTATAAAGCAATGCCCACTGTGGCATTTCATTGAGAACAAGCTACAGTAACTGAAGAAAAAGTTAAGGCACCTTAAATTAACTCTTGAGTTGTACGGGCCATGGTCAATTTCCTTCAAAATACATCCATGAGAAACGCTGCAGTTAAAGTTCTGTGTTTGCTATTCTTTGTACACGAACTCGATGAGACTGGAGGCTAAACCCACGTGGATTATCGATGCGTGGGGTGTTTATTACACGGAAAAGTGTTGAAACATATCAAAATCCACACTTTGTAAAATACCCTTCTGACCAGAAATTCGGGGCGATTCGACCACTGTGCGCCCCCCAGACCCCCCCTTCATGCTCGAGAAAGTTGCTTTATCTCCAGATAACTCGATCTTGACCCTTGTAACTTTTCCCCTTGTCTGGGCTGGGGGGCTCTGCCCCCCCCCCCCCCAGACCCCCCTTTCATCACGACAGAAGCGATCTGCCTACAGAAAACTCGTTTTTTCGCCGTTTTTAAAGTGTTTTTCGGCTATAAAAACTAAACCAGTTGAGCTAGGATGGTGAGATTTCGCGTGTGCCGAGCCAAGGACATACTTAAAAAGTGTGCAAAATCTCACCGAGATCGGCCGAGCCGTGCAGGAGGAGTAGTGCGGACACACAGACACACACACACACGGACAGACAGACAGTCAGACAGACAGACAGGAAAAAAAATTCAGACCCACTGGAGTAACAGGCTTCGCTATCGCTCAGCCAATTAAGATGCCCCGATGATAACTTTTCCGCACTTGTCCGCAACACGAAACGCAAGGGGACCAACACCACAAAAACGTGCCAAATTGATTAGTTTTGGAGATAATCGCTTCTGGTGTGCACCATTCAAAATGAAAAAAACATCAGTGCAATTGTTTTTCTGTTCAAATATTTTGTTTTTCTTAGTAACAAAATGGTTAAATGCGGCTTAGAAGTTAAAACTAAGTATTTTGAGCATTTCTTAGTTTTGCACTTTTTGTCAATTCTGTCATTTTTCTTCTAATTTTGCTATTTTTCTCATTTCTTTAGCATTATAAATCCAATTTTTGTCGGACCACTTTTTCCTTTGAACTGGTCTTTGCCTATTGCCTACAGATGATTCAGTTCAATTCTGGTAGCATTTGGTCGCACGGGACGCTTGCTAGAACTTATTCCCCCGAAAATCGCATTTTAAACCACTGTGCGACGCCCTCCTGTTCCCGGCCCCCCTTTCCCTGGATTTGTTTTTCTGAGGTAAATTTCCCATCCTTGCTTGCGCTTTTAGTTTGTGGGTTTTGCGTCCGTTTCGGACCCGGCGTTCAACTATGACGGACCCCACTCCGTCGGGTGTCGAACCGCCGCCCCCGGGTGACGAGCCCGTCCCCCCGCCCACCGAGGTGCAACGCCTCGAGGCGCGCATTGTTGATCTGCAACGCGCTCTCGACGCTTCTCGTGCCGCCAGCGGCCCCCCGCCCTCCGCGGCCGGCCCCAGCACTTCGCAGCCGTTGCCTGGACCTTCTCGCTCCTTGCCACGCTTTTCTTTTGGTCCCGCGGCCCCACTTTATGCGAGTGGCCCCTTCGCGGCCCCGTCTGCTCTGCAGTTCGAAGGCGTGGAGCCCAACGTCATTTTGACGTTGCGGAAGGCCGTGCCCAAGTACAATGGGAAGATTGACTACGATGTGTATCGCCATTCCTTTGCTGACGTGATTCGTTATTATCAACTTACTGATCAGCAAAAGTTTGAGCTATTGTCATCAGCTCTAGTTGACGAACCTTTGACCCTTCTAGAGGACCTCGGTGCCAACCGCACTTTCAGGGCCCTAGATGAGGCGCTTTCGTCGGCTTACAGCAAGCCTATCCATGCTTGGAGCGAGATGCGTTCGCTGCACACTCTGAAGCAGGGTGCGGATGAGACCCTCGAGGCTTGGTGCACCCGCGTGGTGCGCGCCACGCGGCGGGCCTTCCCCGACACGCCCGGGTATCGTGTCGATGAGCACTGCGTCCAGTACTTCCTGAGCGGACTGTACGACGCCGAGATCCGCGCAGGCATGGCTGGCGTCGCCTGCCCCAACATCGGGGCTGCACTCGACGCTTGCCGTCTCGCTCGCTCTCGTCTCGGCCAGCCCCCGGCGAAAAAGCTCCGAGCCGCGCCAGTACTCGAAACCGCGGTGGTGCCCGCCCCGGACCAGCAGCCCGCTGCGTCCTCGGCCTCGGCGCACGGCCCCGGCCTCGGCGCACGGCCCCTTGCTGACACGCCTTGACGCGCTCGCCACGCAGCTCACGGCGGCCGTCGGCCAGGTCGCCGCTCGCGCTGCCGCCGGCACGCAGGCCGCGCGCACTGATGCCCGCCCCGCTGACGACAAGCCCGCCAAGGGCCAGGGTTCGCATCCCAGCCAAGGACAAGGTGGCCAAGGACAAGGTGGCCAAGGACAAGGTGGCCAAGGTGGTTATCGTCGTGGTGGAAACGTCAAGGGCAACAGGCAGGTTGTCTGTTGGTACTGCCAGAAGCCCGGCCACTACCAGTCCAAGTGCTGGCACAAGCTGCAGAACCAGCAGCCGCCGGTGCAGGCCGTGCAGGCTGTTCAGGCCGCGCCTGTGTACCAGGCCGCGCCCGCCTATCAGGCCGCGATGACGCCTGTTGCGATGCAACCCGTCGCGCACCCCTACGCGTGGCCGCCTACTCCCGCCCCTGGCGCATGGGTGTTTGCTCCGTCTACGACGTCAACTCCCCCGCCTGCGTCTAACTCCCGACGGTCGGAAAACCGGCAGTAGCCTCCCTGACTGCTGGCCCTGCCCCGTCAGTGGAGGCTTCCCCCGATGTAGTCGAGCCTTTGCCTATAGTCGGTTTCCCCGTGGCTGACTTGCACTTGAATGACAAGCCTGTCCCATGTGTGCTGGACATGGGTGCTGTCATTTCTGTGGTTCGCACTGGATTGTTCGACGGTCCTAAGCCAGCGGTTAGCCCTCTTAGACTCCGTAATGTCGACGGTGGCGTAAAATTGCTCTACGGCCCCGTCCTACGTTGTCTTAAGATTTGTGGCCGCCTGTACCGCTTCCCCGCGTACGAGGCTGAGATAGTGGACCCGTGCATAGTCGGCACCGACTTTATCACGGCTCGCGGTGGCGCCGTCGACACAAAGACGAAAGAGTTTCGTCTGGATCCCCCGAGTGGATCGCAGCGTTCGGACGACAGTGTCACCTATCCGTTCCGTTTTGCGCACTCTGTGGACATTGGCACTTTTGGAGTGTGTTCCGTTTACGCAGTAGTTCGTTCTGCAGGTGTGGTTGAGTTGCAACCCTACACCACAGTCAAATTTCTGGCTAGGTTTCATGGCCCTGAGTTTGTGCCTTCGAATGTTTTGAGGCGGGCACTCGGTAATAACGGCAGTCAGATGTGCAGTGAGGGCACACCCGCCGCCAGCACGCAGCACAGGGAAAGCTCTGTGTTTGGACCTAGGGAAGCAGCATCCCAGAATGGCCAGGTTGCGGTGCGGGGCGAGGAAGGACTGAGTTTTGCCAGTGTGAGGCCCGCAGCAAATATTTCCCAGGTTTTTGAGCAGGCCGCCTCGGGTCGAGCTGTTTCGGCTGCAGATGGCTCCGACGCCACCCCTACTTTTTCTGAAGTTCGGGGCTCTCTGCCGTCCGATAGTGGTCTGTTCCCTGAGGCGGATGACTCTGAAAATGTACCATTAGGACTCATAGGCCCTACAGAATTATTGAACGAACGCCAATGTTCCATTGCTTGCGCATTCGTGCCGTTTGCGTGGTCTATACTGGAACTCACAATTACGAATAACAGCGGCAACCATGTGGTGCTGCCTAGTAATTCGGTTGTGGCTTACGTGCACCCCACGAGTTTGCACGAACTCGCGGCGCTGTACGAGGAGTTGCCTGTTCCGGTACGATCTGCCCGTGTGGATACGGTCCCGTACACGGCGCAAGCCGACATTGACACCACGCCGGCATTGCCACCGATTCCTGACGACCAGCCTCTCCCAGCTGACTTGCAGTCACTGGTTGATCGCTGTGAAGGTTTGACGCCGGACCAGAGTGCACAGGTCGCTCTGTTAGTCCGTCGTAACCACGACATTTTTGTCAAGCACAATGACGAGTTTGGCTGTTGCCCATGGGTCAAATTTCGGATTGACACCGGCGACACGCCCCCAATTAAGCAGCAGGCCCGCCCTCTCCCCATTCATTTGCGGGAGGAGGTGAATGCACTGTATGAGAAATTGCTGGAGCAAGGGACAGTGCGCCCCAGTCAGTCTCCCTGGGCTTCGCCGATCTTGATTGTGAAAAAGAAGACGTTGGACGCGTCTGGCAAACCTGAGATTCGCGCCGTGGTAGACTACCGTGCACGCGCATCCCCGCCACGCCCATTCCGCGCACTCAGGAACTGCTGGAACGGCTAGGCGGCCGGAAGTGGTACTCGCACGCTGACTTAGCCTCCGGGTATCACAACCTTGAGATCGCCGAGGAGGACATTCCCAAGACGGCCATCGTGTTACCCGATTCGTTGGGCCTTCCCTCGCGTTTTCTGGAGTACACGCGCATGCCCTTCGGCCTCTCCGCCGCCCCTGGAGTTTTCCAGACCGTCACAGACAGACTGATGCGTCCGTCCATGATTCCCACTGCTGAGTGTGACCTAGGCGATCCCTACGGCGTGTATCTGGATGACATTTGTGTAGCTGGAGACGAGTTCCAGTACATGCTCCAGAAGACTTACGCGCTGTTCAATCGTGTCCGAGCGTCCCAAATGAAGTTGAAAGCAAAGAAATGCTTTCTTTTCAAACGGCGTTTAGAGTTTCTGGGCTTCGTGCTCACCAAGGACGGCATTAGTGCGAACGAGGACAAAGTGGCACGCATTGTCCATTGGCCCGTTCCACTTAACCGCACTGAGTTGCGCTCGTGGCTTGGACTTGCTGGGTTCTACAGCAGGTTCATTGACCACATGGCTGACATAGCCGCCGTTCTCTATGACCTTCTCCGTGACTGTGTCCCTTTCGTCTGGTCTCCAGCTTGCCAGGAAGCTTTAGACCGCCTAAAGACCGCATTGACGACGGCCCCTGTTCTGGGCGTTGCGCGTGCCGACAAGGGCCCGTTTTCGGTCCATTGTGACGCTTCACAACGCGCCGTGGCTTGCATCTTGTCACAAGAGCAAGATGGCCGCCAGGTCGTGTTGCACTACCACTCGCGCAAGATGCCCACAAATAAGCGTCCTCTGTGCGCCACACACGTGGAGCTCTACGCTTTGGTGGAAGCCACGAGAGCGTTCAGACTTTATTTGTTGGGCCGCACGTTCTTTTTCTACACGGACCATTACGCCTTGCAGTGGTTGCGCTCCTTCAAGCACCCTGAAGGAAAGCTCGCACGCTGGCTAATGCGTTTGGAGGAGTTTCGGTTCGAAATCCGCCACATGAAGGGCAAGGACTTGACCAACGCAGACGCGTTGTCAAGGAGGCCGGACCGCCCTTGTTCACAAGGCTGCAAAACCTGTGAACGGATGGAACAGCGAGACGAAGAGCGTGACAAAGTTGTCTCCTTCCTGATTCGTCAAGTCTCCATTGTGAACGGCGACGAGTGGCAAACCCCAAATTTGGCGAAGGCACAGCAATGTGACCCCGATTTGAAGCCCATTTACGATGCAGTCAAGGCTGAAAGAAAACCGCGACTCCAGGACATAGTTGGCTTCGGTCCAATTACACGGAGTTTGTGGGTTCAGTTCAAGTCCTTGGTCTTGCAAAGTGGTGTTTTGAAACGGTGCTTTGAACATTCTTCTGGTGACCCTGAACTGAACATCTATCAGATAGTGGTTCCAGAAAAGCAGAGAAAGGAACTGGTCTTGCAGTACCACACGAGTCCGAGCTCTGGTTCACATTTTGGTGTGTCCAAATGCTACAATTTGCTGAAAGAGCGTTTTTATTGGCCTGACATGAACACGACCGTCCGTGATTGCGTGACTTCCTGTTTGAGGTGTGCTCAGGTGAAAGGCCCTGCTGTCGGCCGATCCCGAGCCCCAATGAAAGTGTTTCGGGAAGGAACACTTTTCGGAAGGTTTCACGCTGATTTCCTTGGCCCTCTGCAGCCCTCTCACCGTGACGGCTACAGATACGTGCTTGTTCTGGTGGAAGCTTTCAGTGGTTGGCCTGAAGCGATCCCACTGCGAACTCTGAAAGCACCGGAAGTGGCCTCGGCGTTAGTGTCACAAGTGTTAAGTAGGCTTGGAGCGCCTCATAGCCTTGTGACCGATCACGGTAGCTCTTTTGAATCTGAACTTTTCCGTGCCGTTATGGACATCTACAAAGTCCGAAAGTGCCGCGTCACTGTGGCCAAGCCTTCCAGTAACGGAAAAGTCGAGAATTTCATCCGCAGTCTGACCCGGCAGGTGGCCGTCCTTGCCGAGGACGAGCCCAGCAATTGGCCTGACTTGTTGCCGCATGTGTTACACGCGTACCGAGCGACAGTCAGTACTGTCACGGGGTACTCGCCGTACGAGGTTATGTTTGGCCGCAAGATGCGTGTGCCACTTGACCTGCTCCATGGCGCTCCCCCGACACTTCCAGACAGTGACACTTTGCGTGGGCGCAAACAGTACCCGGTCAGACTACGCGAGAGGCTGGATAAGATCCACAACATTGTCCGTGAAAACACCAGGAGCGCTGTCCAGCGCATGAAGAGGCACTACACTGAAAAACCAAACGTGGTCTAGACCGCACCAACTGGTGTGGTCAAATGGATGCCATTTTGACCGCATCAGTTGGTGTGGTCTAGACCACGTTTGGTTTTTCAGTGTACGACAAGCTGTCCTCTCTGATGTATTTCAAGGAAGGCGATGTTGTGTTGCTCTACCATCCTCGGCGGAGGAAGGGAAAGAGTCCCAAGCTGCACAGCTCCTGGGAGGGACCCTTCATAATCGTCAAATTGATTAACGATTGCATTGCGCGCATTGAAGAGGTCGTCGTCCCGACACGGCCTGTAAGGGGCCGCAAACGCCGCAAGCCGCGTCGTCACATTGTTCATGTGGACCGCTTGGCAGCGATTAACGGAAGCATGTTTGACCACCGCGGACAGTGGCTCACCTTCCGTCGTTAATCCTTGTTCCCTTCTCCCCTTCTGCCCCGCAGTGATGATCAAGTCCCAGATCGTCAAGAGGTCTGACGCCATGTCCGAGTCCTCGTACTCATCCCGGTCCCCTTCCCCTGAGCAGGGTTGTTAACGTTACTTTAAAGAGTAAAGATTTTACCGGCGTTACCGTTACCTTTACTGTAAAGGTAACGGTAACGCGTTACTTTTTTGGAAATGAGTAAAGTAACGTCGTTACCGTTACCGAAGAGAAGTAACGCAGTAACGGCGTTACCGTTACCGCGAGGCATCAAAAAGAGCTACAAACCTACATTTTTCTCCCTTTCCCTCCCCACTTACGTACTTTGAATTTGCCGCCACACTCTCTCTGTCCCCCTCTCCCCGCGCGCCGCGCGCCGTGTTGTTGCGGCGGGCTGAGTCCCCCCCACCCCTGCCGTTCGTGTTGTTGTTTGCCTGCCTGTTTGTTGCGTGCCGTCTCGTCTCGTCAGCCAGCTAGCTTCGTCTTTGTCCGTGCAGTGCCGTGATAGTTAGAACTTAGCCTGTTGTAATAATGGAGACTGCAGAAGAGAATGACGGGGCGAGAATGCCATGGGCGGCATTTAACCCGCATTTTGATTTCGATTGAGGCATTTTTTTTAAGAAGTCCGATCGTGGAACACGACCGATGCCGATTTCCTCCATTTTTTGGTCAAAGGTAGTCCTTGTGGGTCTAAGAAAGGCCACAAATTTTTTGGGCCGAAATATGCACCGTTCAGATTCTATGGGCAATTTTCGTTTTCTCTGACAACTTTTCACATAATATGGCCAAAATTGAAAAATCACCTTTCTGAGGCCTCTATGCACTCGATTGAGCTCAAAATGTGGTATCTTATGTAAAATCACGCGAGGAACACGAATCCGGTGCCCGTTTGTTGATAGGACAACCCAAACAGATGTTATGACTGTTTTTCAGGTTTTGTAGAGGTTTTTACTTTTCTTGGGGTTTTGGTGTTCGGCATCGATTTTCGCCAATCCGATGAGTGGATTTTATAGATAAAGGACCAATCTATCATACTACGAGATAAAAAGTTTGTGTACGCTGCGTGAAAAGCAGTGGCGCTGCAAAAATTGAAAAACCGTCATTTCTGGGTAGTCTTAGATGAGATGAGGCACCTTTCGCGTGACCGTCTCCGCCCCATATTCAGTCTAAATATTGTCCCAAGTGATGTCAGAGTTGGTGTGAAATTTCACCGCTGTAGCTCAAGTAGTTTGGAAATGGCAGCTTTCTAAAGTTTTGCAATCACGTAAGGCATTTACTTTAAGTAGAATTGCGGTAAATGTGAAGACTTGTCACAGATCGGGTTTAAAAGAGAATGAGGGGCAAATTTTGGGAATTTTTCAAGGAAGATTTTTTCAAGTGCTCCCAATTTTCAACGAAGGGCCCAAAGGGAAACCGATTTTGCCGGTACGAAGACCCCAGGTGTACTCTAAAACTACGTTTTCGTGCAAACCACATAAAAATGGCCTTTTTTCCGACTTCAGAGTTTGCCTAGGGTCTTCGTACCGGCAAAATCGGATTCCTTGTCCAAAATTACGCTTAGAGAACTTTGACGCACTCATCTATCTCATTTATTACCCGATCTGTGACAAGTCTTCACATTTACCGCAATTCTACTTAAAGTAAATGCCTTACGTGATTGCAAAACTTTAGAAAGCTGCCATTTCCAAACTACTTGAGCTACAGCGGTGAAATTTCACACCTACTCTGACATCACTTGGGACAATATTTAGACTGAATATGGGGCGGAGACGGTCACGCGAAAGGTGCCTCATCTCATCTAAGACTACCCAGAAATGACGGTTTTTCAATTTTTGCAGCGCCACTGCTTTTCACGCAGCGTACACAAACTTTTTATCTCGTATTATGATAGATTGGTCCTTTATCTATAAAATCCACTCATCGGATTGGCGAAAATCGATGCCGAACACCAAAACCCCAAGAAAAGTAAAAACCTCTACAAAACCTGAAAAACAGTCATAACATCTGTTTGGGTTGTCCTATCAACAAACGGGCACCGGATTCGTGTTCCTCGCGTGATTTTACATAAGATACCACATTTTGAGCTCAATCGAGTGCATAGAGGCCTCAGAAAGGTGATTTTTCAATTTTGGGCATATTATGTGAAAAGTTGTCAGAGAAAACGAAAATTGCCCATAGAATCTGAACGGTGCATATTTCGGCCCAAAAAATTTGTGGCCTTTCTTAGACCCACAAGGACTACCTTTGACCAAAAAATGGAGGAAATCGGCATCGGTCGTGTTCCACGATCGGACTTCTTAAAAAAAATGCCTCATTGTGAAAAAGACAAAGACAACTTTTGGTCCAAGTGTAAGAAGTGCCCACCCGGAAAGAATCGCCTCTCATGCTCGTTCAAAACGAATGGAAACCTCAAGAAACACTTAGAGGTATGTCCGTAAGTCTAACTTTATTTTAACAACTGTGTGTGCACATTTGCACAGAACTTAAACTAATTGGCATTGCGAGAGTGAAAGCAAAATTAAGGTTAGGCAGCCTGCCGTGCTGCGGTCAGTGCGTAGAGTTTCGGCACTGGGAAAAGTATTGAAAATACTTGAAAGTTGGACTCTGGTGAAGGCCAGGTCGCCGCGCTTTAACTCGGTGCTTTTAACAAGTCAATAAAACATTTTAAACCTGTTAAATTGTCATATTTGCGGAACGCGTGCGTGGGGTAGCGCCGCCGGCCTGCGAGGCAGCGGCGATACTCCCGTAACTCGGGTCCCCTCGCCTGAGTGCGTTGGCTGGCGCGGGCGGCGCGTGGAGTATAGCCGAGGCCGGAACGCGTTGAGCGCTAAGCGCGTGGAGTAGCTAGCGCGTTGCTGTTCATTTACCGTAATGTATTATTCTTGTCTTTTTGCAGAAAGTGCACAAGTTCACGAAGGACCAGATTGAGCAACTGAAGGTTAAACAAACGCAAGTAGCGCTCAAAAGGAAGTCATCTGATGCGGCGGCTCCAGACGAATTTTTTAAGAAGCGTGTTACCCAATCTGATGTTGACAGGGCAACGGACAATTTGATAATTCGCCATAGGTTGCCGCACTCTATTGTAGATTCTGAAGTTTTTCAGAATGCAATCCTCTTAGGTTGTCCTTCCAATGTTTCTGTGGGACGTCGTCAGACTTTTCGTAAGAGGCTGGACAAGCATTATGAGAAAATGAAGAAAAACCTAACTGAAAAATTGAAGAAAGTGCGCTACGTGGCAACTACAGCGGACGGCTGGTCCAAGTTTCGCCGTGGATTTCTGGGTATGACTGTTTCATGGATTGACCCGGACACCATGCAACGTGAGCGAGCCGGGCTGGCCCTCACACGACTAAAAGGAAGTCATACACATGAAAAGTTGGCATATGAAATGAGTAAAATAAATGAAACTTTTGGGATCTCTTCGAAGACCACAAAATGCACCACTGATAGTGCAGCAAACTACAGGAAAGCCTTCACGGTGTTTTCAAGTAATGCCACAAATAGCCAGCAAAATGGAAGTAAGTAACATTCTTGTTTATTTTCTGAACTTAATCGGTCCGCTATCTCCAACGCTAATAGTGTCAATTTCAGGTGCTCAAATGGATGATGAAGAGGAAGACGAGGAAGAGCAGGACTTGTGTGAGCCCATCTCTCTAGAAGACGCGCTAGACAGCGCTGAACTTGACGGAGTAACGCTGCCGGATCACCAGCGCTGTGCCGCGCACATAATCAATCTGCTGGCCACAACGGACGCTAAGGAGGCACTGACTGCAAATGCGAGCTACAAGAAACTCCACGACTCAACGGAAACAACGTTGCGGGAGTGGTGGCGTAAGCAGAGTAGATCTGAACTTGTCTCCACCGCCATCCAGGATGGTTTTGGAGTGAAACTCGAGGTTTCGGGAGAAACTCGGTGGAACTCCGAATTCGATGCAAAACTCCAGGTACCGTTTAAGTTTTAGCATTTAATAATAAAAAATAACTCTGTTCTTTTATGCAAATTAATTTACAATTTCGTTTCAATATTTCAGATTGTGCGCCTAATTGACAAAGACGAGGAAAAATTTAAAACCGTCATCGAAGGTGCTGGACTCACGTTGCTGACCTCTACAGAAATCAAATTTCTACGTGAATTCGTGCACGTGATGCAGCCAGTGGCCATGGCGTTGGATATCTTGCAAAGAGATAAGAATATGTTTGCGGGATATCTCATTCCCACTGTCCTCAGCATGGAGGCCCAGTTGAAATTACGGCGCTCGATGAATGGGAAGCCGTTAAAGTACTGTGATGTCCTTGCTAGAACTCTTATAACAGCCATCCGGACTTCAAGACGGTTCAGCCACTACCTAGAAGACGAGGAGCTGCGTTTGGCTGCCGCACTAATTCCCTGCTTTAAACTTGACTGGGAGAAGGATGAAACCAAACGGGCGGAGCTGAAAGACGCTCTCATTCGGAGAGCGGAGCGCATCGAGCTACCTTCTGATGAATCTCAGACTCAGCACAGTCAGCAGAAAGAGAATGATAGTCAGAGTCAGGTAATATTACTTAAGTAAGCTCACTTTCACGCAGGGTGGACGTTAAGTTAGTTCGGTTTTGTACAAGTTTTCTTTTTGCTCTCCAGAACACTGGACGTGTCGCCGATGTTGAGGGCGACGCGGAATGGCAGGCGGAGGACGAGCCCGAAGAAGTAAGCGCGGAGGACGCTTTTTTCGGCATCACGCCCGTCGCCCCGGCTTCCCCAGCCGCCCTGGAGACTCCTGAACAAGAAGTCGAACGTTTTCTGGCCACCCGCATCCCGGGCCAAGGTGTGGTCAGCTCATTTGCCAAGGCACCGAATGGCAAGCGCGACTTTCCAAGGCTTGCGGAAATGTTCCTCCAACTGAACACAGGCCTGCCATCAAGTGCTAGTGTTGAACGATTCTTTTCTGAGTGTGGACGCTCGTTTATTGCACTTCGAAATAGATTGGGTGATGCTACCCTTGAAATTGAAGTCCTTTTGGCAATGAATTGGCACTATTGGGATGAGTAGGCAAAGTACATTAAAACATGTTAAACATTTAAATTTTACTGTCTTTACTTTGATTGGCTGAGCGATAGCGAAGCCTGTTACTCCAGTGGGTTTGAAAAATTTTTCCTGTCTGTCTGTCTGTCTGTCTGTCCGTGTGTGTGTGTGTGTGTGTCTGTGTGTCCGCACTACTCCTCCTGAACGGCTCGGCCGATCTCGGTGAGATTTTGCACACTTTTTGGGTATGTCCTTGGCTCGGCACACGCGAAATCTCACCATCCTAGGTCAACTGGTTTAGTTTTTATAGCCAAAAAACACTTAAAAAACGGCGAAAAATCGAGTTTTTTGTAGGCAGATCGCTTCTGTCGTGATAAAAGGGGGGTCTGGGGGGCGGAGCTCGGTTGGGAAAAAGTACAAGGGTCAAGATCGAGTTATCTGGAGATGAAGCAACTCTTTCTAGAATGAAGGGGGGTCTGGGGGGCGGAGCCCCCCAGCACGCAACAAGTTAGGAAAATTGACGATGGAGATGGAGAAGCCATTGCCTGCCGAAGGCAGGCTAGCGCCGCAGGCCAAGGTAGGTACGCCAGGCGCGGATTGGAGAAACAGGCAGCGAGCAGACATCGCGAAGCCTGTTACGACAAGACGCGGTCTGGCGTAAACCTACCTTGTTTAAAACAAGGTAGGTTTACGCCAGACCGCGTCTTGTCGTATCAGGCTTCGCGATGTCTCGCTGCCTGTTCCTCCAATCCGCGCCTGGCGTACCTACCTTGGCCTGCGGCGCTAGCCTGCCTTCGGCAGGCATTGGCTTGTCCATCGTCGGTTACTTCTACCTTGTTGCATGCTGGGGGCTCCAGACCCCCCTTCATTCTAGATAGAGTTGCTTCATCTACAGATAACACGACCTTGACCCTTGTTACTGTTTAACTTGTCGGGGCTGGGGGGCTCCGCCCCCCAGACCCCCCCTCCTTCAAGACAGAGGTGACCAGCCTGCAGAAAACTCGATTTTTCGCCATTTTTTAGGTGTTTATCGGCTATAAAAACTGAACCAGTTGAGCTAGGGTAGTGAAATTTCGCGTGTGCCGAGCCAAGGACATACCCAAAAAGTGTGCAAAATCTCATTGAGATCGGCCGAGCCGTTCAGGAGAAGTAGTGCGGACACACAGACACACAGACAGACAGACCGACAGACAGGAAAAACTTTTCAACCCCACTGGAGTAACAGGCTTCGCTATCGCTCAGCCAATAATCCTAATTCACCCCAGCACTTTTAACCTGTAAAATTGTAGCTTTTACGGAATTTTAGGATTTGAAGTAACGGTAACGGCGTTACTGCGTTACTTGTAAAAGTAACGCGTTACTTTTTCAAGAAGCCGGTAAAGTAACGACGTTACCGTTACTTAAACCTGAAGTAACGGTAACGGTAACGCGTTACCTTTAAAAAGTAACGTTAACAACCCTGCCCCTGAGTCTCACGAGTCCCGCTCCGAGAACCCCAAGCGCGATGTGCGCGAGCGGCTAGGCGAAGGCGAGGGCGAGGGCGAGCGCAAGGCCCAGCGCCCCAATCCTCAGCGTCGACGCCGACAGCGTCGCCAAGGTGGTCAACCTGGAGAGCATCCCAGCCAACACCCTGGCCAGCACGCCAGGCAGCGCCCCAACGAGCGCCGCGGCTCCAGCCAGCAGCAACAACGCGGCCAGCAACGCAGTCAGCAGCGCGGTCAACAGCAACACCGCAACCAGCACACAATGATCCAGAAATCTCCAAACGCGGAAAAAAATCCTGTGGTGGCCACATTGATAGAAAATGGTTTTGAACTATGAGTTGTTATTAAAATAAGTGTTTCAGGTCGGTTTTGAGGCAGTTTTCGAAAAAGCACTTGAAAAAGAGGACTTCTCCCAGCAAACTCATCGAGAACTGAAATTTCGACGGTTTTTCATGCAGTTTTTCACATGTTTTCTATAGGAGGCATTGTCTTCAGGGCTCGTATTAGTCTTAAACGAAAGCTTATGAAATTTCGCATCTTTTGAGACCCCAGCCGTTACGCTGGCGTGCTTATATCATGTGCATTGCTTCAAAACAGTTCAAATTTTTGTATTTTTCTACATTAAATGACCCAGAAATTTTGAAAAATCCTAAAAAATTTTGATTTTTTTTTTTTAAAAGGAATCAAGGGTGAGGGGGAAGCGCCCCCAAAAAAAAGCAGCAGGGCGAACCCCCTTAATTGGGCATTCGCCAAGGGCCCCCGAGCCCCGAGCCGAGGTGGCAAAAAAAAAAAACCGCAAAATTTAAACCAAATACAAAAATTTCGGCTTTTTTTGGGGGTTTGTTTCCCTTTTCAAGAAATTTTTAAAAAGAAAAGGGAAACCCCAAGGGGCAGCCCGGGGTGTTTGGGGGTAAAAATTCCTTGGGTTGTATTTTCCAAATTTTGTGCAAAATGTTTTTAATTTTTCGCTTCTTAATTCTAAACCCAAGGTTTTTGAAAACCTTTTTTTAAAACCCCCAAAAAACCCTATTTTAGTTGGGCCCAACTTTGGGCCCCCCCTTTTTATTAAATTTTTGGAAAAAAAAGAAGTTTTTATTCCCCCGATTTCCTTTTCGAAAAATTGGGGTAAAAACCCCACAGGGAGGCTTTTAAACCCCGGAACAAAAACAAAATTTTGGTTTTTTTTAAATTTGGAATCAAAACCCCCAGGGGCAAGGGCCCCCCAACTTTTGAGGATTTTTTTGGGGGGAAAACCCAAATTTTGGCAAACCGACACATAAGAAAAGGGCCCCCCATAAAAAATTTCGGCTTTGTTTTTTTTGCGTTTTAAAACGCTTATTCCACCCCCAAAATTAAAAACCCCAAGGGCCAAAGGGTTTTTAATTTTAAAACTTTATAAACTTTCCCTTAATTTGTAAAAAGAAAACAAATTTGTTTACTTTAAAACATTCCAAAAAAAAAACATTTAATTTGGGGCTGAAAATCCCCAAAAAAAATTTTGAACCAAAAATGTTCTATTTTTTTTCCCCAAATTTTTCTTTTTCACCCTTAAAAAAATCCTAAAAATTTTTTGGGGCCGGTTTTCCCATTTCGGTTTTTTTTGGCCCCAAAAAAACGCGGCCCAAGGAGGCCAAAATCAAGGTGCTTTTTGCCGCCCTTTTTGCCCCCGGTTGCCGTCCATGCCGCCGATGGCCCAGATGCATCCCATGGTCCACGCCCCGTGGTCAATGCCCCCAATGATGCCGATGATGTACCCTCCGGGTGCTTCACCCCTACTGGCGTTAAAAGACAATTTTGAACGCTATCATTTGAAATTTTATTTGCCCCTTTTTTGTCTCAAAGTGCAATTTATTCTTAAGTTTGGCGCCCAAATTTGTTTTTCCCTTCGTGTTACTTTAAAAACACTAAGGGAGTATGGGGCGATTTGTAACGATTTTGGAATTCTCTATACAAAATTAAGAACATTCTGCATATCGGTGTCAAACTCGTGCCATTTTGAGCAGTCTGGCCCTTCATCTAGACTGTGCAGCTCCATTCGATCAATCTGGAGTCCGTAATCTTTGAAATCTTAGACGCTTTCGAAACCCTTGCATGCTGTTACGAATCGCCCCAGCAGGGGTGATTTGTAACAGCCAGGGGGCTTTTCAAAACATCCTACACATTAAATGAAACATCGTCGGGAATGTTGTCTCCTTCAGCAGTTGTTCTTCGGATGTCCTGCAGACCCCTTTTAAAAATCTACATTACAAGATGCCGTTGACCGCCTCACCATTAATTGACCGGCTATGTCAACCCTAACCTCATTTTTTTTTAATTTTGGAGGAAAGAATAGAATAACTCGTTTCAAAATGCATTTTGAGCTGTGTAAATGTATTGGAATAAGGCAGCAGATGATTCGAGAAATAATTCAAGCATTTAATTGCAAAAACTACCTGAATTCTTGTTTTTACACGGTTCTGTTACGAATCACCCCAAATGCCTGTTACGCAAGAAATACGTCCCTAACTATCACTGGACAAAGTAAAAGCAACTCATGCCACAGGGTTACATTGTAAAGGGGTCACGCTTCAAGGCCCCAACGGTACTTCGATGGTGATTCATACCTGGGGAGCCTCAGACAGAAACTTCCTAGAACTCAAAATAAAAGATTTGCCTGTTTTCGGTGTACTAATATTTCAGACGCCCTCCAAAACTAAACTTGAGCACCGATCACATCCGCTTCGATTGTTCAGCCCCTGTACTTAACGCGGAAGAGGGGCCATACTCAGTTTTTTCCTCTGCCCCCTCCACTTAAATTAATAAACTCATTTGTTACGAATCGCCCCTGTTAAAAATCGCCCCATACTCCCTTACCCTGCATTTTAAACCCCTTTTTTCCTTTTCAGATAAATTTCCCCTTCATTTCTACACACGGCTAGTCATCCCTTGTTTCGTGTTTCAGTTCCTGAAGTTTCCGTTCCGGATTAGATTCTTTTTTTTTTGGGTCTAGCCAGCCCCAGGGCACCACGGTGACGTCGAGCGTGTCAAGAGGGAGATCCTACCCTAAGTCATGCCCGGGGAAGCCTCCTTACGCTTGCGTCCTGGCGGTAGCACTTCAAGAAGTACCAGGACTCCGAGTTATGACGAGAACCCCAGTACGGTGCTGCCCCCCGTCGAGACATCTCAAGACGGCTTTCCTTTTCAAAGATCAATTTTTTTGTGAACGTTACCTTGGCTTGTTCGACACTTTGCCTTTCTTGGGGGGGTTCATGTCCTTCTAAAGGAAAAAGGGGGAGTAATTGTAGTTTAGAGCCAGTTTGGGTATGCGCAGTCAGCACCGCTATTGGCAGTCCAGCGGTCGCGCATGCGCAGAGTGTCGAAACGGGCATTGACAACGGTTTTAACGCAGGCGCTTCGGTGCCAGTTGTACTCGAGCTCTGTGTGAATAAACTCGTCTTCGGCCTACTCCTGGTTCCCTCAGTCTTGACACCAGAAACCACCTTCCAATCACCACAGTATATCGCTACTTTTCCTGTTATTTTTTATAAAAAAAAGACGGAGGGACGGGCATATAGTATGATCCCTGCTGTGCGTCCGTCCGTCCGTTCGTCCGAGGACTTCCCGTGGTCCGATCTGGACCAAAT